AGGAGAACTAGCTTGACTAATATTATGTCCAAGATGCTAGGGTCCCCAGTTATCCGACACCCGCCAGCAGCTCGAGAACAGTGAACTCGAAAAGACCAGGTAGATTTCACACCAGGACGAGGATGCATCAGTCATGTCTTCACTCTTATTGGTCGTGGAACATAAGCATACCTACCAGCCAATGGCCGACGCTTTCTATATTTCTTGATCTGAAGGTGGCGTTTGACTCAGTCGACCATAAGATGTGGCAGCGTAACTTTAAAGTAACTACCGATAAAGTATATGGCGCTAATCAAAGCTGTCTACTCGAACTCACTCAGCCGTGTAAAGGCTCATGGGGAGTTGTCACCAGATTTGAAGACAACTAGTGTTGTTTGCCAAATATTCCCACTGTAACCGTTCTTAGTTAACTTCGTTACATATATACTAATGGACATAAACTTACATCTGACTTCATAGGGATTAACCTACTCCTTGGAGGTCATCTGGTTGGCTTTGAGTACGCAGATAATAACGTCCTGCTAGTTGAATACGCTGACAAAATGCAGGTCTCATAAACGCCTTGGGCAGATATCTGAGTATATTTGGCATGCGTTTCTCTGGCACCTGTTGAATGTAAGATGATGCTGCAGGACTGGTCTGCTGCAAGTACTGTAAGTTTAATGATAGTGAGTGAAGTGGTGGAATGTGTCAACCAATTCATTTACTTGGCGAGTTGCATCAACCCGAACGAGTTGGTTGCTGGCGAAATCTCAGGTCGGATATATGAGACCCCGTTTGGCATTTCTCATCTTGTGTCTTCTGTGGTGCAGACTGGAGAGATCCGACTATCTATCACAGGACGAGTATGCTGCTCAGTAGGTCCGTTCTGTACGGCGGTGAGACATGGTTATTAAAAGTAGAGAGTATGAAGTAATTACTTGGTTTTGATCACAGATATCTCCGTAGCACTGCTCGCGTTTGGTGGAATCATCGTGTTAGCAATGTTGAACTCTGGGCGAAGGTACTGGGCAAGGTGAGCAAGTTGATTGGTGAGGCTGTGAATCTTAGTCGACTGAGGTGGGTTGGAAATGTACTGCGCATACCGAGCGGTCACTTACCTCCATCTGTCAGAGTAGGGAAATCTGGATTAGATTGGAAGAAGGTTCGGGATGGTCAGATCAGGAAGTGACATCAGTCCATGGAGTCCCTAACTGTTGGCTTGAGAAGTGTAGGTAGATGTAGAATGTCTGGTTGGGGTCCCCGAGACGAAAAGAATTAGTGATTTAGGACTCTTGGTAACATGGCTGAGATTCGGTGACAGTAACACAGATGTATTCACTCTTTGACATCTAAAACTTGAGTACTGACGCTAACCTTTATTTTCAGATTGTTGATTCTCTCACACAAATCGAAATGCACTCGGCAGCCTTATGCACATTCGTGTGTGAAGGCCAGTGATGCTACTTGATTGCCCAAACCTTGGTAGTTCTAGTGGGGCTCAAGCCCGTGACCTATTGATTGAGTCATCTTAAACCAGTGAACCACAGCTCCACTCTCTCATACTACTTTGTCTTTTTGATATCACTTTTTCCATCCACCTGTCCTTTGTGTACTACTATTAAGTGTGGCAACTTGAGCCGATGCGCCTATGTGCGAAGTTCTACGTTTATTTTGACAGCCAGTCAGTCACAAGACATTGTCGACACTGCATGGGCGGAAGGCCAGCTGAACTGCTTTTCGAAGCGCTCCATCCAGCGTTCCAGGCGTCTTTGAAAATTGGTGATTGACCTACCACCTACTTCACATTCTGTCTCGCTGACATCAGGTTTCTTACTGACGGTAACTTGGATGAGCTGGAAGAGCATTCGACTATTGCCAGTTGCAGCTGCTGCTTCCATCTCAATCACGCGTTCTAGTCACTAGGCCTCAGGGTGATTTCGCCAATACTGTTTTATCTGGGAATTACGCACGCCATTGCGCTCGCTGTAAGCCGGAATACACCGACTAACGTCAATACGTTGCAAGTAACTGGTGGGGATCCAGTTTCTATTAGCGGGACGTTCTTTGAAGTCGTAAAGAGTGTTACTTGTTATCTTCGTGGTGTACTGGTGATGCAACCAGTGCTCATGTATGCTTTCTGGAGGTTCGAAAGCTAGCCTTGAATCCAGTTTACCTGTGTTGACGCGTTTCGGATGATGATTTTGATGATCACTGAAACGCCTGATAAACTTAGCACACACTGAAGCGTGGTAGAAATTGAGACAGGTAGTCCAAGAGGAGCGGCAGTCCTGAATACACCCATGTCATCGTGAGCTGACTGCAAAATAATCTACTTAAGTCCAGACAGAGAGATTAGCAGGTTACCCGATGGCTTTGAATAAAGTTGGTGCTTGGTAGCAACAAGTTGTGATCTGTACAAATCTGCAGAAGACGCTTCTTGTTATCTAACCTGCAACCAACTAGTCTCCATTGGTCACGTAAACGACCGTCGTCTGGGTCTAGACACGTCTTGTCCATCCCAGTTCCCAGCTAGCACTCCGATATCTCAATTTGGCAGTTTGTGGGGATTTACTGATTTCAAGGTGACATCAGCTGTAGAGTCAATAGAAACATGTGAGCTGTGGATAGCTGCTTCATCCTAGTGTACAGCTTCCCAGGAGTGCGCACCAACGACTTCTTCAGGTTTCGTGACGAACACTTTACCATAAGCCATTAGTCGAAATCCAGTGGTCCATGTTTTCCTACTCCTGTCGATTGGGGATATGTAGTGATCATCGTCCAAACCCATCGGCGAGTATTCGCATCCAAACCCGACTTGGTTGACCCCCAAAGTCATGACTTCTCATTAGAACTTCGGGAAACCCATCTCGAAGAGCCTCACTTGTGAATACTGGACTGTTCAGTTTCGAATACAACTGGTCACGAAAAAAGTCCAGTTGACGGTAAAACTGCATCCGGATTGTAGTCAGCTGTGAAACAGGGAGAGGTCGTTTGCTTTGCCAATTACTTCTTGTAACAGTGAAACATAATAGCCTAGCGACTGTTAGAAAACCAGTTTCCAAGCGAATTTTCAGTCATGGCGCTTAGTGCGACAACAGTGAGGCCGGTTGCTGGCTCCACAAGACCCTGGGGATATGCACACTCTGAATCCACTTTTTGAGCTGACAAAGGAAGTAGTTATTCAAAGCAATTTACTGTGGTTCTGTATAGGGGCCTCTGAAATACAGAAATAGGGAGGCTTTCTATAGTCATAACCAGACGTGTCCGTTATCCGATGTGTACCAAGTTCCGAACGAAAAGTGGTCAACTTAAGCAGTAAACGCGGTATCAGAAGAGTTACATGAAACACTGCTCTGAAGGATAGGTTACTAGAAGCAACTGTTTTGGAACTCAAAACGATACAGACAGCCCATGAATTTTAATCAGTGACAACCATCCAGCTGAAACGAAAATACATGTAAAGATGTGAAAGCTATAACGAAAAGACCGTCTATTTCGTAAGAAAGAATAACGACGATATAAGGACAAATAAAGAGATTAGACAGATAGTTTGTTACATTGTGGATTTCGATTTATGCAGGAAAACTCGAGCGTTTACTAGTTTTCACTGTTAACTTTGATTCATGAGTTGTATGCGGGCTACGTTACTGTCTGAACTGTCAGACCGAAACAGATGTTTATCGTAAGGGTTCACAGCCCAGTTGTTCGACTTGACATCCGAGCAATGTGAAGTATTTTATCCCTATTGCTGTCAGTGACCAAGGTAAGGCTCATGCACCAATCCTCCGGTCTGAATGGTAGGACTTGTTTCACTTCTGTTTTGAAGTCAAGGTTTACGAACTCCTAGGTGTACCGTCCGTGTACACCAATCTGGTTATAGCGCAGAGCGTTCTCTTTGTTCCTTTCAATTTCATGGAAGCAGCATCTACCACACGAAAACAGTCAGTAGGACTTCCCTGACCGACTATGAAAGCTTTTATCGAGCACGATCTGGATCATGGCAGGACATTTCGGGGGCGGAAAAATTACTACGATAAGCCAAAGAAGTTTACTAGGTATATTTTTTAAGTATTTCTATGGAATCTACTAAACATTTTGAGATGAATATTCGTTGAGTCGAAACTTTGTTACTTAATAGTGTTTTTTGTTGGTTACCTTTTTCCCGACGTTTTTTTCCTATCTGTTTAACTCGAAATAGAATGATTTGTAGTGAGGTCATTTTTAAAACTGTATGTGGATGATTATAGTTTGTTTAACAAATATCAAACCTAAACACTATAATTCTTCTCTCTGGGTATGCTTCGGTACCGCGTTGATGAATGTTACTTCGAATCTAAACGACAACTTTTTCTGTTCTTTTTTAAATCTGGGTGGAAAACACGCATACTGATCAGCCTTCTAAAACAATTAATTTTTTGTCCTTTAATATCAAACTTTTATTGAAAACTTGGACCGTTACGCAATAATACCTGTTGATCTCGTAGTTAACTTGAATCAAACCAAGTGTTTGCAATCTATGCAGTCCGTATCGAGAATGACTTAATTAGATTAAACTCAAGTTTCAACAACGTAAAATCCCAACACAGTTTCCTTTAAAAAGTAAAATATTCAGACTATATAGTGTGATCTGCTCGGCACCACAAGTGGTGTTTGAACTACAAACTTAAAGGCTTCACGGAATACACTTTTTGTTACTAGTTCGGTAACTGAACATAATTCAGGTGTTCTGAATTAATTCACTCCCTGAACTGAGTAGATCTGGGTACACTACTGGAAAGTTTGTCTCTAAATTACCGAAAGTACTATCTGATGTGTAGATCATATTAATCTAGCTAGCAAGCGTTGCTGATCAGCGTGAGTAGTATATAACTACCCAGGTCAGTTAGTAGTATATTTGTTATGTGGTCAACTTGACTATTTGGCAGCCATTTACTATGTTACACTAATTGATCAATCTAATCTAGTGATATCTAGAAAACTATTGTTCTCTCAATAACAGTTCGGTATTTATTTTTCAGCGGGATCCGAACTACAACGAATTTTTAAACTGCAGGAATTCTTATTTACATATGTCATCAACCTATACTCCACCTTCGGACATAAAAAGCTCAATCAATCCAAATGCTCCAGGTTTACACACTTCTGAGAGCCCTAAAGGTGAAGAAGTCGCTGCACACTCTAATAAACATTCTTGTGAGAAGTCACCACTCTCATCCACTTCCGTAGCAATCAGGAACACAAATGAGAACACTCGGACTCTTACTTCACTTCCTTTCCATGCTCAGCGACGTAGCATGTTAGTGAGTGGTTTGGGTAGCCTTAGTGGTAGCAGTGGTTGCATGGCTGATCGAAGTATGTCCAGTCCCGCTCCTTCCAATGAACCTGGTAGTCCGTTTTTCTCTGCTGCTTCTTTTCCTCACAATGATATGGTATACTTTTTATCACCAAAGAACCATATTGTTACATGTGAATCACAGTTAGCTAAATCATCTGAGCACAGTGGTGATCCAAGGTCACAACCAGAAATATCATATGCTCATCAAGTCTCAGGTCAACTGCAGGACAAAAGTATGCAACAACCGATAATAGCACAAACAAACCACAATGGCTCTGCAAGTAAACATATTAGTGGTAAGCCTTCTGTGTATGATTCCTTCTTTAATATACGTTCATATGTTTATATTGATCGTTTTGCTGCCTAAATTATAATAGTCAACTGGCGACCTACCCAACATATGTCTGAGACCACCTAATTGTTATAAATTTAGCTGAATTATGATCCGAAACTTTCTTCTTAAAGCAATTGAAGGTTGTTTCAGTATTGAAATAAGTCTGAGGTGAGGTTCTTACCTCATACAGCTTGAGCTTTGACATACACTTGTTCTATGCAGACCATCTCATACTCCAATGAATGGTGATGATTTTTACAGAAGGAGGTTTACAAATCTCTTGGTTCAAGGCAAGTTATCAATACTGAATACCACCTTGAAATAAGTAAAATCTTTATAAATCTCAAACTACCAAATGACTACTCCTTGTCTTAGACCAAACACTCACAGGCACTAAGATCATAGTAATCTTTGCTATTAAAAGTCACAAAGTAAGGGTAACCATGTGAGCTAGGCCATTTGCCTCTAAATCTCTTAAGATATTAGGATAGAAACTGGGAGACTCCAAAAATCACAATAGCTTAACTGTCTTCGTTTATCATTTTGACTGAGATAGCCGTGGTTTGGCAGACCAGTATTGATACTGGGTGACGATTGAAGGTGAAATGAAAACTTGAACCGGTTTTGGACTTGGACCAGCGACAACCGGGTTTCTGACCCAATTCTCCACCAACTGAGCTACGAGGTCCGACTGCTGACCGGATTTTTATTTCACTCCAATCACTCTTCATTTAGTTGTTCCGCTAATGCCGTCCTCTTAATTTATTTTTCTAGCATCTTTAGATTGCTGACCTGTTTTAGGAATGCAGAGTCAGTCGTTTCTAAGTTAGGTGAAAGGTACCAGGAAAAAACGTGGAACTTGGAATCACTCCGAAGTAGTTCATGTTATCAAACTTCATATCAGCACATCAAAAAGGACTTAGATAAAAAATCTAAAATGAGGACGAAATTACTAACTGACGAAAAGTCGTGAAAAGCGGACCGTAAGAAATATGACAATAATGAGAATCAGTGAGATGATTAGGATTAAGATAATGTGTTGAGACAGCCCCAGAGACCGATTCCGAGCCATATCGCTTGGGCTCTTCAACCGCCTGGTTTCTGTCGTCACACGAGCCTCACCCGGGTAGTCTACATTCTTGTAAACGGGTCAGATCAACAGTCAAGAACTTGGTAGACTCATGCCTTGTTTTAGTCTGACCACTTCTAACCTCATTCCAACCTGAAACTACCTTGGATAACAATATACGCGTGGTAAACAGTAAGTCGACAAGCGCAACACATGTCATGTCCCAGTCACCTGAGCCAATGAAGGTTCACAACCTTATCGACTGACGTTCCTCTTCTACCAAAAACCTCCGCGTCTCGCTTCTACATTGCTGATGTGTTGGTGACACTAGGACACAGCCTATGCAAAGAAGGCGATAGTGATCAAGTATCTCGAGCCTTCTGTCCTCTACCTCCAATAAGCATATTTCACATCCATCTATTGGAGCAGAGCGAAGTGCAGCACAATGCACTCGGTCCTTAGTAGTAGACAGTCTAACATCATGACGATACTATGAGTGGAGTAAGATGGGGAAGACCAAACAAGGTTTTTCGTTGGTGCAGAGATTTTATTGGTCACTGACGTACTACGACTGATCTGACTTTCTAGATAAGTGAAGCAGTCGATGCACTCAACAATTTCGCACCCTAATTTTAGACAAGGTACCTTTGGAAACCAGTCTTAGGGCAACAAGTGACAATTTGCTGAGGATAGACTCATGTCAAGCATTCTCGGATTGCCACTCAAGGTGTCCAGGAAACTTTACATCTTTATAGGGTCTTTACCTAACAGGACTATGTCATTTGTGCACCCTATATCTATTAAGAATCAGAAAAATCTCTGTAGTCAGATGACAGGAGGGAGACCTCCACAAGTACGTATATGATGAAGTTGGATAAGAATGGCGAGAGTGTACATTGTTGACAGTCACCACTGGACGTACACAACTGACTTGATACCTCACCATAGACTGACCGTATCAGGCTTACGGGTGTTTTTGAGTGGAGAGACTCGAAAAAGCTGATGTAGAAACTCAGTATCTCCTTCAGTTCGATGAGAGATACTGTCATAAGACCTCTCGACCGATGTGGTCGAATGCCGCCTTGTGGTTGAGAAAAACGGCTAATATCAGGTATCGGTAATTGTGTTTAATGGATAGTGAGCATATCTTCTTAAGTATATTCTATGGAGGTTCGATTGTGATGATGCAGAGTAAGACGAACCCATACCACTGGTCACTGAGTGCCACAGAACAGGGAGTGGCATGCTACTTTGAGGTTGATCATTTCCAAACCTCCTTGTTATAAGGACAGCAGCAACAACATGGTACTGGTGGTCATCGGTGGGGAACACCTTACTGCTGTTTCACTTCATGTAGCCAGCAGTGCATCCTCTCGCCCGGAGATCCTCATCGTAGCATAGCCATTTACGGTAGGCGTTTAAGTGTTTTCCATCGGACTATAATAAGTGGACCTGTTTTGCTCGTTAGAATCTCTAGGACAAAGTGCTGCTACTAGCAGAGGCGATTGGGTCTTTTTGATTTCCAATCCCGTCCACTACGTCATAGTAGCAACTACCAGTCGATAGTTTTCTTCTTCTGTGCTGCTACTGCTTAATCAACCGCGTTTCTGTGCAACGTTTCGTTTTATGTATGTTTGTTTACATTGGTGTTTAGTTTCTATGGCGGCATGAAGTGTAATGTGCGGAACCAGTTTTTTCGATGAGATTCTTTGCTTTAACGGTTCTCGTCGGTCAGTTAAATATCATTTTGGAAAAGTTCTTGAAAGCAATAGGTTAATCACCGATTTATAAGGAATCTTTTCTTAAATAATTTTCAGATACCGGTGCAACTCAACAGTTATATGATACTTCATTAACAGAGAAACGGAGTTTTCCTTTACGCTTACCTTTAGTCAATAAGCAGTAAGTTTAGTATTCGTTGTTCAGTTTTCCAAGAATTTGTTTCAATTTTCTGAATGCCTTTGAAATAAGCCTGATGTAGATAAATAAGATTTTAAGCATAATGTCTTACCACTGGTCACTAGTTCCTTTATAAGATTCAAATTTTACATTTCCAAATAAATGTTATGCTCGTAGTAATTATACCGTTGATAAGCAGCTATTTATACTGTGATTTTTAAAACATTTTCACAGATTTGTGTGTCAAGTCATGTTTTTTGGATAATTAGCAATGTTTGCTACCAGTTAGTTGCATTACATTATGAGTGAAAACTGTCAAAATACATGTCCCACATACGCATGGAATCAACTGCCCACGAACCACTTAGTAAAAACTCTCACATCTACAGTTTAAAATTGATATTTCCCAGCTCAAACCAAGCAGTGGTTTAAAAGTTGTTTTGAATGGTGAATAACATATTTGTAGTGTTCAGTAATTGCAGATGATGTACTGTGACTAAATCTTTTCTTGAGTGCTTAGAGTTTGAATCGTCGGTTTTCGTTTTATGATAGGTATTTCCGAATATCCTTTAAGAGATCATGAAATTTTAACAGGAAGAAAATAAATATTTATCAAACTGATTCACTTCAACTATAACTTGTGGTGAATGCCATTTTAAAACTTCACCACCTAAAATGACTTTGAATAGGTATTTTTGTATATGAATCATAGCTGTTTCACCTTAATATCCTTCACAAAATCAAGAGGATATTCAAAAATATATCAACTATTGTAGTTCACCTACTCCACTCGACGTTCGAGACCTGTGTTTCGGGACTCTAGGTGATGTGCTTGAAAATCGATGGCACTGGCAAAAATTCATCTACTTCATCCGTTATATTATTATTATTATTATTATTATTATTATTATTATTATTATTATTATTATTATTAGTCCCTTGGGTTCCTAGTGGAACATAGGGCTTCAGTAGCACGCCTCCAGTGACCTCTGTTCTCTGAGATCTTTTGAACCTGGTCCCACGACAGCCCAGAAGCTCTCATTTCCTGCTCGCACGACCTCCTCCATGTCACCCTCGGACGTCCAACTCGTCGCTTCCCATGGGGATTCCACTCGAGCAACTGGCCTGACGCGTGATGTCCTCCGTCGGCCTTCTCAGTGCATGGCCAATCCATCTCCACTTCTTCCTGCATATTTGTTGCGTGATAGGTTCTTGGTTGGTTCGTTCCCAGAGTTCCTTGTTGCTTATTTTTTCTGGCCATCTGATCTTCAGCAGCGAGCGTAAGCAGTTGTTGATGAATGTCTGTAGTTTATTGGAAATACCTTTCGTGACGCGCCAAGTCTCTGAGCCATACAAGAGCACTGACTTGACGTTGGTGTTGAAAATCCGTATCTTGTTCCGCATGCTGAGTGAGTGCAGAAGATCTCCACACTGGTTTCAGGCTAATGAACGCCTGTCTTGCTTTTCCGATTCTGACTTTGACGTCCTCGTCCGTCCCGCCTGTAGTTGAAACAGTGCTTCCTAGATAAGTGAAGGAGGTTACTTCCTTTAAGTTTCTCCCGTTGACGGTGATTGGAGTTTGTTGTTGATGGTGGTGGTGCGGTATCTTCATCACTTCTGTCTTCTCTATATTCACCTGAAGTCCCGTCTTCGCTGCTGCCTCTTCTATCAACTTGTTAGTTTTTGCCTGCAGATCTTCAAGTTTGTGTGACATTAGGCATAAGTCATCGGCGAAATCCAAGTCTTCTAGGTTCTTTTCCGTCGTCCAGTGTATCCCCCTCTTCTCGCTGCCTACTGTTTGCTGCATGATCCAGTCCACCACAATAAGGAATATCATGGGGGATAGTAGGCAGCCTTGTTTCACTCCTGTCTTCACTTCAAAGGCATCACTGAGCTTCCCATTGTGGATTACTTGGCATGTGGCATCTTCATATAGTTGTTGAATGAGGCGGATAAAGGTTTGCGGTACTCCGTAGTATTGAAGCAGTTTCCAAATTACTTCTCGGTCGACGCTGTCAAAGGCCTTCTCAAAGTCGATGAAGTTGAGGTAGAGAGCTGATTGCCATTCTATGCTCTGTTCTATGATGATGCGTGGCGTTGCAATTTGGTCTGCACATGATTTGTACTTCCTGAAGCCTGCCTGTTGCGGTCGTAGTTTTGAATCCAGTGCATCTTTGAGCCTCTCCAGGATGATGCGGCTTAATATTTTGCTTGCTGGGGTGGACAGGAGAGTGATTCCGCGCCAGTTCTTGCAAGCACTGAGGTCTCCCTTCTTCGGCAGTTTGACAAGGTAACCCTTCTTCCAATCGTCAGGTACCTTCTCTTCCTTCCACACCTTCTGCAATAGTGTGGTGTGAGCATGTCCGCTGTTGTCTCTGCATCTGTTTTCAGTGCTTCTGGTGGGATTCCATCTGGTCCTGCTGCTTTCCCGCATTTCAGTAGCTTTATGGCGTTCAGGACTTCCATTTTCGTTGGGGGATTTATGTTCACTTGTAATTCAGCGGCTGCAGGTGGTATTTCTGGACGAAGTGCAGGTGGTGGTGGTGGTCGATTCAAGAGCTTCTTGAAGTGGTCGGCCCATTGTTTCCTCTGTTTCTCTTCTTCTGTAATTAAATTTCCTTCTTCATCTTTTATTGGTTTCATCTGTGTTGGTCTCTTCCCTGATAGCAACCTGGTTATTTGATACAATGTCGTCAGGTCTCTTTCTCGCTTACCTGCAGCCTGTTCTGCTTCACTTGCCAGTGTTTCGTAGAAGTGTCTTTTGTCTTTGCGTGCACTCTTCTTCACTTCTTTGTCCAGTGTTTTATACATTGTGCTCAGTTCCTCTTGTCGTTGAGCATCCTTGCACTGGTTTATCTTCTGCTTCACCATCCTCCTCTCCTCTATCAGCTTCCAGGTATCCGTCGAGATCCATTCCTTGTCTTCTTTCTTCTTCCTTCCTAATACTGTTGTGCAGGTTTCTTTCTACATAGCTTTCAAAGACTTCCAGTGTTCTTCCACACAGGTTTCTTCAGGGATGTCCCTCGATGTCTCCCATTTTGTCTTGATGGCTGCCTTGAAGATCTCCTTTGTAGTTTCATCCTTCAGTTTCCGAGTGTTGTACTTGAGTTGAGGTCTATCACCAGCTTCCTTGAAGGCTTTTAACTTGATTTGGAAGGTTCCTTGCACTAGGTAGTGGTCTGAACCTACATCTGCTCCTCTTCTTGACCTTGTGTTAAGTAGACTGCGTCTCCATTTTCTTGAGATTGAGATAAAGTCGATTTGATTTTTAGTGTGTCCATCTGGTGAAATCCATGTCGCTTTGTGGATATCTTTGTGCCTGAACACACTGCCTCCAATCACCAGATCGTTGAATGCGCAGAATTCTGCAAACAATTCTCCATTCTCATTCATTTCACCTAGTGCCTCTCGACCCATGGTTAGTTCTCTTCCCGTGTTGTCTGCTCCCAGTTTGGCATTCATGTCGCCCATCAGAATTTTGATATCGCCAACTGACGTCTTGTCCAGTGTTGATTGAAGTTGTCTGTAGAAATCCTCCTTTTTCTCTTCATCCGCATTATTTGTAGGTGCATAGCATTGTATGATTGTGACCTTCCTTCCTTTTGAGTTGAACTTTGCTGTCATGATCCTGGAGGAGATTGGTTCCCACTGCAGAGAGAGCCTTCGATGCTCTTGGGGACATCATGATAGCCACTCCCTCAGTGTGCTCGTGGTTGTCGTCTGGGTGACAATATCGGAGTAGATTATTGATTCTGCAGTTGACAGTTTGGAGAGTCCACTCCCATTCCATCTGCTTTCGCAAATCCCAAGCACTTCGATGTTATACCTTCTCATCTCCTTTGCAATCTGGGCTGCCTTACTGGGTTCAAACATCGTGCGGACATTCCATGTCCCCACGTTTACTTTCGCTTTCATCGAGAGAAGACACATCGGCCTGGCCAATTGGCTTCCCGAAGGCTTTCACCAACTGGCGTCATTTCGCCTCTCCGATTCCAGCGGGGGATAAGTTTGTTTTCATTTTTTATATTTTGTTTGTGCTTTGAAGTTTCTTTAGCGGTTAGATTTGTTTTACGGGGTAGGGTTGCTAGCCCTATGCCCAACCTTCCCTCTTTACCCGGGCTTAGGACCGGCTAGTAACTAGCAAACTAGTTAACCAGGCGAGGTTCATCCGTTATATGACACCTCATTATTCGCTTATTCCTTTTCGTCCTACGGTTGTGAACATCTTTTGATTATACTCATCACACTTCGTCGTCTCTCTTGATGTGCTGATATGAGGTGTTGGATAAAGCTAAAAATGTATGAAACGAAATGAAACTTACTAAGCTGCCTTGACCGCTTACTTGCAGTTGGCAATAAGGAACACCTATTGTGTTGAGGGGCTAGTGATGCTGCTAGGCTGCCCAAACCTGTGTCCATCTAAGAGACTGTTTTTCTACCAGCATTACACTTATATTTCAACGAAGTTGATAACTTATTGGAAAACTCCCAATCTGTCTAACTTCTCAGGTTTTTCTCACCATTTCTGGTGAGCGATTTCTAAGTGTTCCAGCTCTAAATAAACCACTATATGGTCTATGTTATCACATGATTAATTACCTCTAATAAGTGTTATACCATTAATATACGCTGTTGGTTTTGCTCGTGATTTTATAAAATGCTCAGTATTTTTTACCCACTCTAGTGATGTCGATATGAGCACTGTACTGTTACAGTGGTGTATCTATGTGGTATTATCGTTACCTGTGCAAACCGAGAAACATGGATGACTTCCAAAGTTACCGAAACTTCTGCATTTAGTCGTTTCAGTGTCTATATTTTTGATGAAGATCAATTGTGCAAGTCGGTTCACTAAATTATGTCACTGATCAGATAATAGTTTCGCCAATTTCGTATTAAGTGTTTTAATGGTATGCGGGTGTTGATTTGTCTCAGCTAATGTAGTTCTTTAGATTATATTTTAAGTCGAAAATTGTTAGTCATTATAAGCTAAATAACTCATTTAACAACACACGATTGTGTAAACTTTGTACACGGTGTAGTATGAAAACGTCAAGTTGTTTTTCTGGTTCACGTGTTGTTACAATAAATCAATAGTTGTGTGGTAGAAATACGAATGTTTATAAAGACAAGCAGCCTGAGTTTGGAAATGAAAAAAAGTATTTCTCTCATTTTCGAAAGTCATCTTACCAAGGTTTTTGATATATTTCCATCTATTTCGTGCTTGTTTCGAATGAGTTTTATCGAATAGTTTTTATAAAAATGATCAATACAGTCAAATGTGCTTTCTAGGCGTTCTAGTCTAAAAGTCGTTGTAACTCCAACTAAAAATCAGTGACGGAAAAGTGTTTGACTCTATATACTTTTTGTTCACCCTTTTAGTACTGTTGATTCTCGTCGTTGGTCAATAGCCTCATTACCTTCATCAGGTTATGGGACAAATACATCAGAAAGCGGAAGTCACTTATCTGTAAGTACTTTTTAGAATAAATTATTATGTGGAATACTACATCACTGAACCAATCACACTTCTTGTACTGTAACCGTGATCTTTGATGTAAAAGTGCAACATTTGTTATTGGCTGTCTAGTCAAGAACCAAAGCATACCTAATCAAACCTAAGTTTTACTAAAGTGGTTCGTTTCAAACATGTATAGTCTAATCCATAAGAATTTAGCAGCATATCTGTCTCATCACTTATACTTTGGAAGTCAAACCATACTGTATTATAGTAGACCTGTGACTTGATGCTTTACTTAGCTAACTTTTAACCGGTAGGTCACAACCTCAAACATCCCTCCACTTACCGAAGTTTTGGCAGCCAGGTTGTATCGTTCGCCCTTACGTAATGACTGTGACTTACTATCTACTGCATGAACGTCCACAAGGTTGCTGAGTGCATTTCGTTCGTGAGTGGTTTCTTTAAACTGGGGCTTTCAGTCTCTAAGACTGTGAATAAATCAATGTTAGTGTACTGAATTGAGGTTCACACTTATATTGACGGTGTTTCACTGTGAAAAAGCTGCTGGATAAGTACAGTAATTTACTAAAGGTTATATATTCGAATGCCCTTAAGCATGTTATAATCTTTGGTGAGGTATCAGATAACTTAGAGGTGTCTACTGTATCGACTTTAGTTGACTTTGTCATTGACAAATGGACCCAAAATAGTGGTTAGACAAAAAGCAGTTACTGTTGTAGTGTAAATTACTACACTATGACGGGGGTCGGAGGGCGAAGTCCTACTGTTGGGTGGATAAAGTTCACACTTTGTCCAGTAGCAGTAAAGTGTTTACCTTGGATGGCCAGTGACGCCATTCTGATGCTGCTTTCCCTATAGGAAGGGGGGGCTGGAAAAGGTTGGCCCCAAAAATAGCACACTCCTCCCTACCCCACGGTCTTCCGGTGCCTGCGTTAGAACAGCCAAACCTTAAAACAACAACCCGCCAAAGACTGTGTGTAACAGACCTTAAGCAGATATTCCATGGGTTCTGCGGTCACGCACATCTTTTTCTCTTCCAAGTATCTCAAGAAGAAATAGTCTCCCACTGTGTGGTGATCCGAGAAGTGTCAACCGCCCATACGCTTCCATTGGTATACAAAACCTAATCAAGCACAACCTATCCTCCTCAAAACTGCCTCCTCTTTTGTCTTCACCTCCTGACACCAGTATTAGACCTCTTACACCCTGCCCAACTTCTCACTGTATAACCATTGCCAAGGACCAAAGCCATCGAAACCTCATTCCTAGTCCTCTAAGACAGTCATTGGCTCCATATAGGAGCTTTCAACACCAGAACCCTATGAAAAATCGGACAGCAAGCATTGCTCACCAGAACTCTATAATGTCTAGCCATGGATGTATGCCGTGTCACTGAGACACATATACAGGACCCGAGTGTGGTTATAAAATTGACGTCACCTGACCATAGTAGTGAATCTTCAACATTAAATTTAGGAGTATCCGGAGACCCAGTGACTAGCTCTTGTGAAGTCGCTGGTGCAGGGATGACATTAAGCTTTAGAGCAGAAAGTGCGCTTCTCGACTGGAAACCATTTAGCAGCCCTCTATGTGCTGTTTGACTGAGTGGATCTGCTAGAACTAAGAAGGATGGTAAGAGCAACCGATGCCTGTTCGTAATCTCCGCCTACCCACTCATCGACTTCAGTTAGGATGATGCACGGGATGAATTCTGTGAGTTGTCAACTTTGCTACAGAAAGCAAAACGTTCAGATGAAGTCATGGCCTTAACGCCGAGAGGAGGATCGGCGGAGGATTGCCACTCTTCTGGAGTACAAGTCTGTACTCCAGTCATGCTTTTGTGCTGGCTCATGTATTTCCGCACCTTATATGCTGCGGGAGACAGGCGGCAATAAGGCCTGTGTGTGCTCGATTGGGAGATTTGTATGCCAAGTAAGTACTTAAGAAGGATTTAGCTAAGTGTTTATCTGAACGTGACAGCAATACTCATCCTGATGAAACCTGGAATGATATCAAGTCTGTTGTAAAAACGGCGGTAAAGACATTTGATAACCTACTACACCCGAAGATTAGCCAACGTCACTGAATTTTCACGATGTTATGCAAACTGATTGATGCGAAAAGACTGATTCCGGCCGACTCTGACCAGGATGAAGAGCGAAAGCAATTTAAACGTAAGTTAACCAAGAGTCTTCTTAGTGATCGCGAGTAGTGGTCAATGGCCAGATCGATAGGGTTGGAGAAGGCATCCGTGTTATGTAAAACCCAGCAACTATTTAGGTTTATTAAGGACTCTGGCAAGAAGAAGACAATGTTTAGTGAGAACATCACGTAAAAGCATTGGGTGGTGGTAACCTTCCAGGACAGGGAACTAGAACGTTGGGCGGTTTAACTGTCCCATAGGAATGTTTCGGTTGTCCAACATCCAGACTAAACCTGAATGGGACGTAGATATCAATCCTACGACTCTCCTAGAAGTTGAGGAGGCTGTTTTGAACCTGAAACGATGCAAAGCAGCAGGGTCTGATAGTCCACCCTAAGCTTTTAAGAATGGAGGTGGGAAGTCACATTAGAGTGACATGTATTAGAATCAAAAATAGTGCCATCAGATTAGTGTACTTCACTGATCATTCCACTTTATGAGAAAGGATAGAAATCTTCTTATGGCAGCCATAAAGGAATTAGTTTGACTAATATTGTGTCCAAGATGCTTGGGTCCGTAGTTATCCGATGCCTCACTGGAGCTCGAGCATACCAGGCAAGTTTCAGACAGCTGCACGCCAGGGGTGCATCGATCATATTTTCACCCTATGAAGTATTGTGGCAGTGAGACTGTGAAGTGACTACCGAGAAAGTATATGACGCTAATTGAAGTCACACAACCATGTAAAGGCTCATGCAGTTGTCATCAGAATTGACGACAACTAGTGTTATTCGTTGGAGATGTCCACTGTCACCGTTCTTGCTTAACTTCGTTATAGAGGTACTAATGGAAATAAACGTAGAAACATCTGACTTCACAGGAATTGATCCACTTCCCAGAGGTTACCTGGTTGACTGTGAGTATGCACACAGCTGTGGTTCATTGACTATAGCACTGCTTAAACCGTGAGTAGTGATTGTGTATCACTCTCCATCTAATTTAGCTTGGAAAGTCAGGTAGTATAACAGTATCTCACAAATGTATTTCATAGACTTAGTATATAGTCATGTACTGACTGGATGAGTTTGAACTTGTTGGGGGTGCACTTCCTGTTTACTATGCCGTATGTAGTGTGTTTAAATAAGTTATATGATGAATTGTTGTCTGAGTTTTACTACGTTATCACCACTAACTAACGTTAGTGTTATTCAGAATAATGGTGTTCTATGAACCTTTGACATTATTTGGCATCAGTTCATGAAGTTACTGTTAGTCGGGATCGTGTAAAGCGATGTGGTTTGCTTTCTGGGATGAATGAAATGAATCGATGAATACCCTAGGTAGAAGAGTTCAAAGTTGATGAAAGCGTAGATACATATGCTTTCTGTCTTGAAATCACTATCTAATTATTGTACTAGTGTCCTTTTTTACCTGTTATTTATTTCTACTCTCCTACTTATGCTTGTTTTTCCTCGTCTGGTTTTATTGGGAGGTATGATAAGTTGAATTGGTATACTTTTGCAGAAGGCCTAACATTGTTCTGTCATTCTATTTAGTTTGATTCAGTAGCTAGCACTCAGCTAAAATGTCTTAGATCTGGAAATAAAAGGGAGTTCTGACATTAGATTGATTGTTTCCCCAAATTCTCCCAGGAATATGCTTTTCCTTGTTGATTTTACAACTATGTCATGAAACGGACAAATCTGTTCGAACTATCTTACATTGAAATGGGGTGTTTTGCTTAGAAGAAAAATTTCTGTACCTTTTATTACTTGCCTCCAGTAGATATGATTTCTGTTTAAAAATCCTAGCTTCTGTTTTAAGGCAGATACTGCTTGCCGTTTCACTTTCCTTACGCCAACATAAGTATCAAGTTTCTTTCTGTTTAAATATCTAGGCCTTTACTTCAAATTTTGTGGATCATTTTACTGAGTCAAATAAACCTTTTGTTTGATTAATCTTTTTCTATGTAAACGCCTTTCCGGTACAGCGTAGTCGGTGTTCTTCAAGGGAAAATATATCCCATGTTCCTCCTGTTCAAACTAGCGTACAACATCTAACCGGCCTCACAGCCTCAGGACATAAAAAGTATCAAACATCTGGACAAATTATGCCCGCCAAATGTTTACCGGTTGAACGTTCTTTGTCCATGAGATCACCTTCAACACCTGTATCTTCACATTTGCCGAGCTCTGTATCCCCATTGTCATTCTCATCGTCTGTCAGCCAGAATGAAGCATCATCAAGCATTTATTCGCGTTCACCAAAGGACTCGTATACATCAGAAACAGGATTCGATAATTCACCTCTAAATGTTTCATCTCCATTATGTGCTCCAGTGTGTGGTGTAGATTCTAAAAGTGTACCACTTACTCCTGTTGCTCGCACGTCGCCTAGAATTGCACATGTTTCTACAAATGGGTCTCAAATTTGTTTAAATTCTGTGTTCGGAAGTTGTCGAACACGTTCTCGTAGTTTGAGGTAGGTAATATTTTTCCACGCATGCAAACATCTCATTTATTTCTATTAAATGTTTCCGTATTTATTTTGCCTGTAAAACAAAACCCTTTGATCTCACCTGGGATTCTTCGTGGATAGCCCTCAATTCCACACCTTGTTGTCATTGATTCAGACGTATGAAGATAATAGTTTGGTAATAAGAAGCACTGAATTCTATTCAGCACCTTCTGTCCTTTGTTCATGTGGATTATTTTGCAGTAATTCAGGAAGACCGTAATTATTATTATTATTATTAGTCCCTTGGGTTCCTAGTGGAACATAGGGCTTCAGTAGCACGTCTCCAGTCACCTCTGTCCTCTGAGATCTTTTGAACCTGGTTCTACGACAGCCCAGAAGCTCTCATTTCCTCCTCGCACAACCTCCTCCATGTCACCCTCGGACGTCCAACTCGTCGCTTCCCATGGGGATTCCACTCGAGCAACTGGCCTGACGCGTGATGTCCTCCGTCAGCCTTCTCAGTGCATGGCCAATCCATCTCCACTTCCTCCTGCATATTTGTTGCGTGATAGGTTCTTGGTTGGTTCGTCACCAGCCAGAGTTCCTTGTTGCTTATTCTTTCTGGCCATCTGATCTTCAGTAGCGAGCGTGAGCAGTTGTTGATGAATGTCTATAGTTTATTGGAAATCCCTTTCGTGACGCGCCAAGTCTCTGAACCATACAGAAGCACTGACTTGACTCACGTTGGTGTTGAAAATCCGTATCTTGTTCCGCATGCTGAGTGCAGTGCAGAAGATCTCCACACTGGTTTCAGGCTAATGAACACCTGTCTTGCTTTTCCGATTCTGACTTTGACATCCTCGTCCGTCCCGCCTGTAGTTGAAACAGTGCTTCCTAGATAAGTGAAGGAGGTTACTTCCTTTAAGTTTCTCCCGTTGACGGTGATTAGAGTTTGTTGTTGTTGGTGGTGGTGTGTTATCTTCATCACCTCTGTCTTCTGTATATTCACCTGAAGTCCCGTCTTCGCTGCCCTGCCTCTTCTATCAACTTGTTAGTTTTTGCCTGCAGATCTTCAAGTTTATGTGACATCAGGCACAAGTCATCGTTGGCGAAATCCAAGTCTTCTAGGTTCTTTTCCGTCGTCCAGTGTATCCCCCTCTTCTCGCTGCCTACTGTTTGCTGCATGATCCAGTCCACCACAATAAGGAATATCATGGGGGATAGTAGGCAGCCTTGTTTCACTCCTGTCTTCACTTCAGTGGCATCACTGAGCTTCCCATTGTGAATTACTTGGCATGTGGCATCTTCATATAGTTGTTGAATGAGGCGGATAAAGGTTTGCGGTACTCCGTAGTAGTGAAGCAGTTTCCAAATTACTTGTCGGTCGACGCTGTCAAAGGCCTTCTCAAAGTCGATGAAGTTGAGGTAGAGAGCTGATTGCCATTCTATGCTCTGTTCTATGATGATGCGTGGAGTGGCGTTGCAATTTGGTCTGCACATGATTTGTACTTCCTGAAGCCTGCCTGTTGCGGTCGTAGTTTTGAATCCAGTGCATCTTTGAGCCTCTCCAGGATGATGCGGCTTAATATTTTGCTTGCTGTGGGTGGACAGGAGAGTGATTCCGCGCCAGTTCTTGCAAGCACTGAGGTCTCCCTTCTTCGGCAGTTTAACAAGGTAACCCTTCTTCCAATCGTCAGGTACCTTCTCTTCCTTCCAGACGTTCTGCAATAGTGGTGTGGTGTGAGCATGTCCGCTGTTGTCTCTGCATCTGTTTTCAGTGCTTCTGGTGGGATTCCATCTGGTCCTGCTGCTTTCCCGCATTTCAGTAGCTTTATGGCGTTCAGGACTTCCATTTTCGTTGGGGGATTTATGTTCACTTGTAATTCAGCGGCTGGGCTGCAGGTGGTATTTCTGGACGAAGTGCAGGTGGTGGTGGTGGTCGATTCAAGAGCTTTTCGAAGTGGTCGGCCCATTGTTTCCTCTGTTTCTCTTCTTCTGTAATTAAATTTCCTTCTTCATCTTTTATTGGTTTCATCTGTGTTGATCTCTTCCCTGATAGCAACCTGGTTATTTGATACAATGTCGTCAGGTCTCTTTCTCGCCTACCTGCAGCCTGTTCTGCTTCACTTGCCAGTGTTTCGTAGAAGTGTCTTTTGTCTTTGCGTGCACTCTTCTTCACTTCTTTGTCCAGTGTTTTATACATTGTGCTCAGTTCCTCCTCTTGTTGTGCATCCTTGCACTGGTTTATCTTCTGCTTCACCATCCTCCTCTCCTCTATCAGCTTCCAGGTATCCGTCGAGATCCACTCCTTGTCTTCTTTCTTCTTCCTTCCTAATACTGTTGTGCAGGTTTCTTTCTACATAGCTTTCAAAGACTTCCAGTGTTCTTCCACACAGGTTTCTTCAGGGATGTCCCTCGATGTCTCCCATTTTGTCTTGATGGCTGCCTTGAAGATCTCCTTTGTAGTTTCATCCTTCAGTTTCCGAGTGTTGTACTTGAGTTGAGGTCTATCACCAGCTTCCTTGAAGGCTTTTAACTTGATTTGGAAGGTTCCTTGCACTAGGTAGTGGTCTGAACCTACATCTGCTCCTCTTCTTGACCTTGTGTTAAGTAGACTGCGTCTCCATTTTCTTGAGATTGAGATAAAGTCGATTTGATTTTTAGTGTGTCCATCTGGTGTCTTGTGAAATCCATGTCGCTTTGTGGATATCCTTGTGCTTTAACACAGTGCCTGCAATCACCAAATCGTTGAATGCGCAGAATTCTGCAAACAATTCTCGATTCTCATTCATTTCACCTAGCGCTTCTCGACCCATAATTAGTTCTCTTCCTGTGTTGTCTGCTCCCAGTTTGGCATTCATGTCACCCATTAGAATTTTGATATCGCCAACTGACGTCTTGTCCAGTGTTGATTGAAGTTGTCTGTAGAATTTCTCCTTCTTCTCTTCATCCGCATTATTTGTAGGTGCATAGTGTGGCATTGTATGATTGTGACCTTCCTTCCTTTTGAGTTGAACTTTGCTGTCATGATCCTGGACGAGATTGGTTCCCACTGCAGTAGAGAGAGCCTTCGATGCTCTTGGAGACATCATGATAGCCACTCCCTCAGTGTGCTCGTGGTTGTCGTCTGGGTGACAATATCGGAGTAGATTATTGATTCTGCAGTTGACAGTTTGGAGAGTCCACTCCCCATTCCATCTGCTTTCGCAAATCCCAAGCACTTCGATGTGATACCTTCTCATCTCCTTTGCAATCTGGGCTGCCTTACTGGGTTCAAACATCGGAAGACCGTAATACTTACTTATAATTCCCACCCACATAAAATATTTGCTATTCGGATTTCATGAAGGTTGATTCCGTGTAAAATCAACAAACTTGATCGTATGTTAAAAAAAACGATTAGTTGTATGAAGCTATCTTTTTGGGCGATTGCATTCTCTACAAATATACTATCCCACTTTTTACGTTTTGTTTCACTATATTAAATAGTTACAAGCATTATTTAGTTAAACTTAGTAGCAAAAATCAAGAATGAGTATAGAAAATTCTTTTCTTTTTATCAAATAACTTTCTACGACATTAAATTGTATTATTTCCATTTCCTTGTATCGTATCATTGTCATTTGCTGATGTGAAGTTTAGCTATTTAGGCTGTTATGCATTTATGCCAAGTTTTTTTGGCATTAACTGACTGTCAGTAACATTTAGTTAATTCATAATTTTAAAATCTTTATTCTCCCTACCAACAGTCCATTACGTGTATCGAATGTTGGTGGTGAACAAGATATACTACTGTTAAATCATGTATATCGAGAACGTTTCCCGAAGGTTTGTTACTGAACTATGCAATTTTTTTATTTTCATTTTTTCTATTCGAGTTAAGAATAGTTATTATTTGAATTACTTATGCATGTTACAGTTTTTTCTCTACAGTAATTAGAAAATAGCCTCTGTCTAACTGTTACAACTGCCATAGTGAAAGCATACGCTGTGGATTTTCACCACTCAAACAGAAGTGTTGATAAGTCATTTTGAATACGATTTAGTATATTCTAACTTGAACAAAAGTTACTTTTAATGTAAAGCTACGTTTAAACGGTGATTCTGTCAATGCTAACTGTTTCGTCATGTGGAAAGTTGGTGTGATGTATTGGGAGGGACAGGGTAACTGGTTATTAATGACTGAAACACGATCACATCACTCCAGCTTCTACTCCGGGGATGTGAAGCACATTTCTTGAGCGAATTAAGATCAAACCAAATTAAGTGGAACAAAAGTTTGCATCCATGATTAAATGGTTGTTGATTGAGTTCACTGAGTATAAAAGTCTTCTGGATGTACATTATTCGGTACTTTTGCCTGTTTCATACTGTGCATCCCATATGCGTTACTACTATGGGTAATTCATATTCTTTTTGTGCCTGTTCTGTGACTCCACGCTAGTCAACTGTGCATTTTTCCACATTAGATTACATTAAAAATCATGATACAAATATATCCGTTTGTTGTTTTATCTTCTTTCCTAAAAATATCATATCGTTCTCCTTTGTTTTTGAATTACTGTTAACACTTCGTACAATCTAGTCCTACTGATGTATGTATTCATCTATCTAGTGTATAGGTATATTTTTACATCTTGAAATCAATAAAGCGTAGAAATCTTATTTTTTCGGTGTCAAAAAAGTTTATGTTCATCTTTATTTTCTATAGAAAGTGCGCATGATTTCTATTTGGCATCATATACTTAAAAACCGAAAGTTACACAGGTGCTTTGTCTTTTTAAATTTTTATTTTCTTCGGATTGCTTGGTTTTAGTTGTGTTTCAGATATTCTATAATTAGGCTTTCATAACACTGTTGGATAGATGCGATTTTCAAACAGATCTTTATACTGGTTGAAATTAAAATCTGGACCGCAGCCGGATTCGAACCAGCGGCCACCGGGTTTCCGGCCCGATGCTCTACCACCTGAGCTACGAAGTCCACTGAGTATAAATACTAGTATGCCAAACCACGACTATCTCAGTCAAAATGATAAGCAGATCCTCGCTACGTAATCGGTAAGCTGGTGATAGCTCAACAATCTGTCTCCATTGTCTATTTTAGACCATCAGTTACGTGTAGTGTGTACGAGGCTATAGTAGTATCCGGTTGCTGAGACCGTAGTAGATAAAGCGTAGCTCAAATCCATTGGTCTGTAGCATACACTAAAAAGCCTTAGCACCTCACTTGATCGACAGAATTCTATCATCAATAGATAATTTCTGTCCATTCAGTCATTAAGGTGTAAATTAGCAATTCCAATAGTTCTGCTGGAACATCCATCCTCATTCACTAAGCACTCAGAATATTTTATATATATCCAGTTCATACTTGTTACGAATGTCTTGGGAAGATTTGAGCGTCAAGTCTAGTTCATTCATCATAAGAGCAGTTTTTAATATGATTCTAGTGGGTTCTGAGAATTGAAGCCAGATTTTTTCTGAACGTTTCACCTTGTATGTCACAGTTTCAGCAGAATACTCAGACTTTTATTATTATTATTATTATTATTATTATTATTATTATTATTATTCTGAAGAAACGGTTACCACAGCACAACTTTCGATGGATTCTTGTTTTGATTTCCTCAGCACGCAGGGAATAGATTGAAACTTTTAGTATCAGGACATTTCTTTCCTATCGAAGTCTTAGGGTAGTTTTGTTAGTGAACAGTATCATGCTCAAAGTCTAGGTTCTAATCTTTGTAAACTGAACGCTGAAATTATGTAGTTTTGTTTTAAGATGTTTTTTTATTTTCGCTTTTCTCACTCTATTTATACATGACGTTCTTCACGTAGTTAAGATAACAGAGTTCGAATATTTTATTTGTTAAGACTTATCTCCGACATGTCGATGTGAAACTGTCTCCACATCTGAATATAATGGTATAGAGTATTATAGTGAAGAATGTGACATTTGTTTTGCATTATCTAAAGTCTGACTATGCAGTCAGTTAGTCTATCATCAAATGACATGTATCGTTGCTGCGTACTACTCCAATTTGCCACATTTGATATCGCATCAGCATACATAGCAACAAGAGAAAAAGTGGATGATATCAGGCTTCTGCGATCGTCATTGATACAACAGATTCGTATTCAGTTTTTGCGTTCCTTAGTTGCTTACCACTTCCGTGCAGGTCTTACCACATGAATGACCGTGCGTTTCGAACAGCTTCTTTTATAGTACGCTAAAGTAAATTTATACAGCTCAGCACCATATGCTATATTCATGTGTTTCACAATGAAAGCACTGAGAAATGATATGGGATTCGCTAACATACTCTGGTGGTAAAAAATGTTGTACTTTATAAACCTGATAGTAGGGATCAATCAATAAAAGCTAATTGTATTATAAAGAGTGACTGGTAATAGTAGAACTGATCTAGTGGAAGAAGGAAACAGAAAAGCTATTTATGAAACGCGGACAAGAAGCGTTAAACGATGAAATGGCACATCGAAGAGATGCGTTTAAGTTACTGCGATCGTTTTCAAACTATATGAATCAGTCTTAAATCACGGACATTGGCTACCTTGTGCAACCCAGTCAACGTTTACTCACTTCTGGAAGTCATAAAGCACCCTTAAATTTATTGAGGGTTATTATGCATTCAGTATACGTATATCACCTGAACGTAAAAGTTTTCATAGCTATTATCCATTGAATAACCCAGTACTATGTACCTGAATCTGTTGTCGTTCTCCTTATTTGCACCACACTGGAAATATACTTTAAAGGTATTGAATATCCATATCCTCAACATGTCTTGCAAAAATAGGAAGGAATACATCATTGCAACATAGCTCTTGTTAAGGCACTCGAAAATCTCACCTATGCCATAAAAATATATAATTATCTGTAAGCTGGACAAAATCTCCCAATCCAAATCGATAACGGGATACAGTGATAAGTTGTTTAGTACTGCAAAAGTAAATACATCTACTCCGTTATTATCAATTTTGAGTAGTGTTACTTGTGGTTTGTAAATATTGATTATTGGCAGTTTGGAGTCTTCTGTCGTGTGACCTACATTGCTCAGACAAGGAGATAAAAGGTTCATTGATTTGCTTTGATGACGCTTTATTTCTTCCTTCTTATGTTTCTGCATATGAACTCTAGGACACTACAATGTTTCTTCCTGGCAGAATTCCGTCGTAATTGATAATTAAGTCGATTGCAGCATTTCTTAATGTATGAAGTCGCAGACACGCCGTTTTGCAACTAAACACGCATTCCATAAAGCCAAATACCAGTGTAAAAATGAGTACCACTCAACTTTTTCCCCGATTATGATAGCATACTCTTAGTCCACATAAGTTTTCCAATAAACGAGCTTTTTATTGATTCGATATGCTTATGAGTTACTTTGAATAAACTCTCTTCGAAATTTCCACCTTACCATCTGATCTCCCCTTCCTCATTGACACTTTCAGTAAACATCACTTGTGCTAATGGGTCTTCTTGATAAATGTATGCGAATGGTAACTTATGTGGTTACCATATTTTCTGCTTTTTCCTTCTAATCGTTATTATATTTTTACTACTTTTGCTCTTTGTCATGTGGCCAGTTAATCAAATTACATCTTTGCACATAAACGTCAGTGCAGATGAAGTCATTGATGATACAATGATATGATTAAGCAACTGCCTGTTTTCATGTACTAAGTGATGAGTCATGTATATTGTTTGCAAATTAATGCTACTAATCGCAAATTTGAGTAGGTATTGCACGTGTAAAATTTAGAAATGACAATTAGAAGAGGAGTGTAAATGAGTAGGCGAAAACTGGCTATGAGTTTCACTTTGTTATCTCTATCATTTTTTCAGCAAACTGAATAAAACAATAGATTAAATCAAACAAAAGGCCTTTCTTATGGTCAGTACTTTCTAGAATTTGTTGATATCCTTATCTTTGAATTAAGTATAGGGAAATTTATTAGTTATATATTTCCGGTCTGAATTGAAACGTAAACATATGTTGACTCAGTTGTTCCAGTTAGTACTAAAGGAAGAATAATGGTCATTTATGTATCCTAATCGGTGGTTGTTATTTACTTTTTGTGCCTATATTTAACGTTAGGTTGATGTTAATAGTTACTATATAATGTATTCATTTAAAGTTCATAGTGACTAGGAATAGAGTTGGTTCGTGTAGGACTGTGCAGATATAGTATACAAGTATGACTAGTAAGTTGCTATTGCTATAGAAGTACACTAGTCGATTTTTGCATCGTGTTTCACTTTCAGGCTTCTGCTCATATGCAAGATCAATTGGCTTCTCTAGCTGATGAGATTGAAAATATGGATACAGTATCTTGGTCTGCAGTAGCAAGGTTTGTTCACTGTCAAGTTGTACAACACGCTCGGGATTGTCTTCAAAAGGCTCTTTCTGGTCTCGTAACTTGCCGTTACTTTTATGAAATGACCGAAAATTTAGGCAAGCTTATTGAAGATGTAAGTTTTTATAGTGACTATAATTTATCTTTTTTCATCCTTATTTGTGATGTATTGATTTTTTGCTTATACCTATTTTTTTATATTCTAAGAATAATGTTCGTCAGTGAATACAACAGAGATGAAGTCATAGTTCGAAACTACATGGTGCTGTTGACTCTGTTCGAAAACTTAAAATTGTTCGAGTTTTCTGAAATATCTTACGTTGTGAACTAAGAGTGCAACCATTCTTACCCGCAATTCTTGTGTCATAACAAATAGAATACTTTTCGTTCGATAATTCATTTCACTCCAATGGCTTATAAGATGCATTCACAATAAACTGAAAACACCTAAGCTGCTTAAATTATAAAAACTAGTAACAGTTAAAGGACGTATGATCAATGAATGAAACATTAGTTTATAAACATTTCTAAAAAATACTGCTCTAGAGTCACTTTGCGTAAAGTTTATTCTACACCTAATGAGTAATTTACTAATACATAATCCAATTTTTATGTTTTTTTCTTAAGTTCTTTACTATCATTTGGGATTATTCATCCAAACCTCTCTGTAAACCATGTAGTTGGCTTGTTCAATTTCATTAAACAACTTTATTTTGTCCATTTTTTCAAGCCTTAAAGAACTTGGCATATAGATTTCGTTTAATTTCTACTGACCTCCATTCCCATCATCTCTAATAATTTGTGACCTATTAGAAATTAAAGAAAACTACATTGAAACATTTAGAAGGTAACAAATTGAATTCAGAAATATAAATTTCCAGTTAGCATCTCATAATCGACTCCATGCAGATTATAAGTTTCTTCTACCCATGTATATCATCAGTTTGAATACTAAGATAAATAATTATTTTCAAAAAGAAAATTAAAAACGTGATAACTGATCACTGAAATTAGAAACAGAATAATTGCAAATATCAGACCAGGCAACTACTTTATGACAAAAAATAAACGGAATGAGTAATTATGTTTCGTTGGCGTTAATGATGAGCTATTCAGAACTCTCTATGTCTGCAACCTTTCAGTTTGATCTCTCCTCATACAATTTGTTCAGCTTAATTTCTATAAAATTGAACAGAAACATTTTTATGGAAGACCTTGATCACGACAGTCCTGTAGGTCTTTTATACTTGGTTTCATATATTTTTTTAACGTTGATAGACTGTGATTGAGGGTTACTAGAACCGATAGTATTCTTTGTGCAGCGAATAACTCATGGTATAAAATGGAACTACCTTCTTAAATAGTGACTTCCAGATAGACATACAATACTCATAATCTAAAATATTCTTTTTTATAGTTCGTTGTGCACTCACTTTTGACTGACACATCTCACTTTCATTATTTATCTAAACTGAAGCGGTTATTCAAACAGTTGAATTTATTTCCACTCTATCAACTTGACTGTAAGTATATTAAAACGATAATCTACAATAAGTCACCGATATATTACTGCAGTATGTTGTATAAGTATCCTAATTAACTACCGTTTCAAGTAGTCCTATCAGTAACCTGTTCTAAAGTAAATGTTATGGTTACTCTGTTTTTCTGATATAATCATTACTGTTGCGTCCTATTGGAGGTTATCCAATTTTCCTTTCTTTTTAAAATGCGGGACAGCGTATGTTGAAATCGCTTCGAACGGGAATTGTTCCTATTGTATCAACCTCGCCACTAGAAGACAATCACTATTATTATAACACATCTTTGAGAGACAATGATAACTCTTTTTTTTCGTTTGTTTCACTGATTAACATCTGCAGAATGTCACAAATCTCGTTCCATTAAAGTACGAAACCTTGTTTTGATTTTTCGTATAAATTTGGAAAAGTTATATTGTTTTCTTCAGCCTCCATTACTTGGTAACTTTACACACAGCAACGCAATACCTTGTATCTTAGTTTTTAGTACAAGTGAGATGAATTGTTAGAAGGCAACAAATTCTGAAATGATTAAGTCGGTTAAAACATCTGTAGGTCTAGCTCCTATTTTGTGGTTAATCAGATAACGTAGTAGGGAGATAAGATGCGGAGCTGTGGCTCATTGGTTTAAAGAGATGACTCTCAACCACTAGGTCACGGGTTCGACCCCCATTCCATCTACCGAGGTTTGGGCATCCAGTAAATATCATCAGCTCTCACACAATAGGTGTGATTCATTGCCTGCTGCACATATCTGTACAGAATAGCTGATTGCATATCGACTTCGAGATAAGGAAAGATGCATAATCAGTCTGAACCCCTGTAGTCTTGATGGGCCAGTCGACAGCATAGACAAAATGTATGAATCCAGTCATGGAAATTATAATAGCTTCCCAGCTTCCCTCCCTATTTAAAAAGTTCATCTACTGTCGCCTATACCCTCTCTTTTATCACTGCGTAGGTATCTTCGTATGCTACTATATCATATCGGATCTTGAATTGCAACAACCCAGCATATTTCATGTATCTGTTAGATTACTACTGAACCGTTAGTTGTGTTGTCTGTATCTCTAGGATATGCATTTTTCAGCAATGTTAAAGGATTGGGATTAATACTGACAGTTTCCCCTACACTGTGACATTAGTTTATGGTTTTAAGTGTTCACTGAAATTTACCATGCATTTGCACATTTTAAGTTAATCTGTGCACCTGGATAATATCACAAGCCATTCTCATGGTATCTCCCATTCATACATCGATACACTAGTGAGTTTGTGACTGGACAATTCTATCAAATGAGCTTCCCAAGGATAACATCCTGAAGTATCCCAGCTGATAAGTTAAGACTGTCCTGCTAATCAACAAGTATTTACTACAATTATATATCTAAATACTGCTTACCACGTTCAAAATCTATTTCAGTAAAATATATAGAATAAAGTGGTGCTATTTATTTTCATCAATAATGTCTTATCAGAAATGTTGTAACGAAAACAAGTCACCAAATAGATGCTTTTGAGGGTGTATTAGGTCTGTTCGCCTTCCTGTGTCAGTGTGTATTACACCAGGTTTGAATGGAAGACTGTGTGCCGTTTCGCTTTGATGTCCAATGTATATAAATTAAGATACTGTTTCTTACTAAACACAAAGTGACAGACTTCACCTCTAAATTTTTTGAAAAAATAATTTTAAATTGATCTCATTTAGTATTGCCTTTGAATTAATAAGTATCTTAGCATACGATATTGTTTTCTTTTCTTAACAAAAGGGCGTTACAATGAAAGTTCACAAATGTAATCATGCATTACTTGTTTGATCGACTTTTGTATCATTATATTGGACTTTGCCTATCGCTAAAGTTTCGTTTGAGATGTATTATTCAAAGTTCATTGCTGTTAAGTTGTATGAATTTGAATTCATGTTGCTGATTGAATGAAATAGCCGTGTACACCATTTACACGAGTATCTTTGCCATTACACTATGCTTGTCGAATATTAGTTGAGGACAGAGTTATCACGACACCGCTAATTAAAGTTAATTTTTTTTTATTAATTTAATAAAGAATTCTTGTGTATATGATGGTGATTTTCCTTGACATAAAGCTATCTGATAATTGGCCTCCAAACTCAGAATTGGATAGTCATCTTGTCTTGTTTCACATTTAAATGCAACTAGTATGCGATCCTTCTAGATAATTAGTCTTGGGTCATTTTTGTCATATGATGATCACATTAATCTTGAGTCCATCTTATTTGGTTCCTAGTAGATTCGAGTAGTATACCACACTAGGTCACAATATAAGAGATGGAATTAATATCTTGGGCTAAACTATTAAATAACTGATTTTTTTCTTTGCTTTCTCTTTCGTTTCAGACGCGTGCTCGAGATGCAGATTCCATTCCTCTTGTGGTCACTTTTGTTCGTCGTCTCCTCTTGATAATCGCACGCCCAGCCCGTTTACTTGAGTGTTTAGAATTTGATCCATCTGAATTTTATCAGTTATTGGAAGTTGCTGAAAATCACGTACATCGTCGTACACATTCAGTTAGCCTACCAGGATCTCAAATCGTATCAGCCGATGTGCCTCTGTATATCATTTCAAAGTTGGGTCTCAGTAAAACAGCACTAGATGGTACGTTACGATAGTTTTGTTGTGCGTAATGTATTTCCTTAAGTGATTTTTAAGGGCTTTCGTTTTCGGTGGGTTTATCTGATGGATCAGACTCTTCTCTTGTGACTTCTTGTCTGTATGCAAGTGTGCTCAGGTATTCGCGAAACTTTTTGATATAGATTTTCGTCAGCATGTAAGGTAATTTTCATGAGTTAATATCGTTTCGTGTCATAAATGCAACACTGACGGGCGTTTGAATCTCAGACGGGACATCAGTTCAATCGAGGTTTCAGATACTCCTTACTGATGAGTACCAGAAAGCGCGAAACCTAAGTCCAGGGCCTTCTGCCAATTACCTCCATCCAACTAAAAGTAAATATCTTTTTCTCTATAGGTAAATGAACTATCCGTTGTGGTTACTTTTTACATGTATTACACGGTTAAGCTGTTACTCACTGATGACGTTTCGAGCAGAATTTATTGCTCATAATCATATCGAGGTAATAGAAACATAATTTACTACGGTACCTAATTTCTTTTCCCATATAAATGAACCAACCACTTCTATTGAACATGAAAAAGCGTAGTGATTATGAGGTAATAAATTTGTGTACCCTCATCCACTTAGATGGTTAAATTCGAATATATATTTTACTAACATGTGCATAACCTACCCCCTAATGTGCCATGATTACTGCGTATTGTTTTCTGTTTCATTGCAATTTCTATATTTATTGTTGGTTACTTACACTTCTCATTTCTTTATTCCATGAAGTCTCATTGGGTTGGGTGTTATTTAAAATTGTATAAACGGCAATAAATTCGTCAGTTTTCTTTTCCATAGCAAATAAGCCTGTTTCGTCGCTGTTATTTAACGATCTGATGAATGCCTCAAAAGTAATTGAATTGGGAACAAATAGCATGCAAATAAATGTCACCCACTTTATTGCTATTCCCATGAACTTTAGATGACACTGTCCACACTGTTTAACCCTCTAATTGATTGCAAACGAGTAGAGTTGGATGATTGTTCATTCACTGCAACTATTTCATATTTTCAGTTTTGTTTTGCAACAATATTTCATTCCCATCCTTGTCAGATCTTGTATCGGGACTATGGTTTTACAGAACTGCAGATACTGTTCCAATCTGCTTTCAGTTTTTTTCGATAACGACGCTGAACCACATAATCTTTCAACATTTTCAACTAGTGGTAGTCATGCGAACGAATGTTTGATCTAGTAATCATGTGCAGCTTCATTTATCGACTTTATTTATTAGTAGAATAATGCAAACTGCCTGGCTTTTCAATGGACCGTCGAGAATTTACCTCATACCTAAATATTTATGTGCTTTTGCTCTAAGAAACATGATATGTTTCTCGATGAGCCCTATTTCTTGGACATCAGCTTTACATTGAAGTTAACTTGTAAAATCAAGCAGTTCATACCAATTGACTAATTTCTTCTAGGCGTATATGGAGGTATAAAGGACAAGAATCGCTACCACGTGACCCTTTTGGAATCAATAAATGCCTTTATAAATAGTTTTTAGAGCATTCTTGCAATGATCTCATTTCTAGGCGCCAATCGATAGTGATATGCCTCATTAAATAATACAGATGGAATTCTTAGTAAAATTGGTTCAGTTTGTGATGGAAGATAATTACTGCTGGTTTTTGAAGCGGAATATCTCATTGTGACCTTAGTTATATGCCGTGCTAGAAAGTGAGACGATGTAAAAATATTTTCTGTTTCATTTTCTCCTGTCATATAGGATATCTTTGTGTTACCTGTAACTACTTTAATTTGTTTTTTATATATTCGGGGTGTAACATCTGCATAGTGCTGCCGCACAATTGATGTTATTCTGAACTAATTGTACTATTATTTCCTAAGATATCAGTATCATTATATATATTTGGCCTCTCCAGAAACTTAACTTTTATACCATTCCTAATGCATAGACTTTGTATTCTCTCCTACCACTTGCGCTACTAATCAGCATCTTATCGTTCGTAAAGTATTGTAAAATTGTATCTGTATAGTTTCCTGTTTACAATCACCTTCTAACTTCCTGATAACCTTATAAATTGATATGAAGCACTTCAAGACAGCAGCGAACAGTTTTATTTACAATTAAATCTCTTCAAACTTTGGAATACACGACTTAACACATGTACAAATAAAATATGAAAAAATCACGGTAATTTTCCAGTCAAGGATGGAGATTGTGCTGACAAGAATATTGATGAGATCCACATGATAATGTAAACAGTCGAACCATGTATATGAAAGCCTAAGATCTAACTGAAAACAATATTGTTGGTTTACACGCCTTGTTATAATTTTAAAAATAAGAATTATTAACATAAAAATAAGTACTCTTTAAGCTGACAATGCTTAAAAGCTGTTCATTCCCCTGGGATTTTTTTCAAAGTAACGCCTTTTCATACCAGTAGTGGTTTTTTCCATTTTTTCCTCTTTAAAATATATATGCACTCGTAGTTCTCCTAGCATTGTCCTTCTTTGCTTTTCAGAGTCACATAATATTGAATCTTCACGTATTTGTCGTTCTGACATAGATGGTTCATCTCACTTAGAAAAATTCAAGCCTGACTCCACTGTTAGAACTAGAACAACAAGTGGGTCCAACCTGGAAACTTGTGTGAACGCAGCGAACGAACCTGTAGTACGAACAGCACGTAGTTCTAGCAGTTACGCTCCCATTCGTCCTCCATGTGAAGCTGACTTTGAAGTCATTAAGCTGATATCAAACGGTGCTTACGGGTAAGCAGTTCGTATTTTTTGAAATAGTTTCGTTACGTCCATCTAAACTAGAAACTAATTTGAGTTCTGCAGATGCATAAATCTTATTTGAAGCCCCCTTGGAGAGTAAGTACCTATCAATATAAATTATAAAGACTATCGGAGGCCTATTAATAAAATGCTCACTTCTTAGGCATCTGCAGGTGCTACTGAACTTACTACAAGTTAATAGGAGCTTCTGAAAATGATATCAGTAGTTTTTCGCTGATATTTTTCTGGTTTCCAATGCCTTAATATTATTGCCCTCCAATCACTTGTGTATCATTAATTCAGATTGTCAGTTTTCAACCAGTAAACTATGGCTTCGAACTCTATTTTTAGCCTATCGAGGTTTAGGTGACCAGGAAATGGTATTGTTTTTTGGTTTTCAGTCTTTCTTTGATATCAGTTAGGATGAAAACTATAAGTTTCGAGTGTTGGCCTATTTAGTTGTTTTATATGTATACTTTCGAATGTATGTGAATATTTAAATTTTTCAATTACTGTGTTAATGTTATTAATGCTGTTCATTCTTTCCTTTTCCCATATTTTTAGTGCTGTTTATCTTGTGAGACATAGAGTAACTCGACAACGGTTTAGTTTAAAGAAAATTCGTAAACAACACCTTCAGTTGCGCAATCAAGTGGAACAAGTTTTCGCTGAACGGGATATTATGAGTTTTGCAGATAACCCATTTGTGGTTAGCTTGTGTTGTACATTTGAAACGAAAAAATGTTTATGTATGGTTATGGAGTATGTTGAAGGCGGTGATGTAGCAACTTTATTAAAACATATCGGTGGGCCTTTACCATTAGATCTGGCTAGAATGTATTTTGCAGAGACTGTATTAGCCTTGGAGTATTTGCATAATTACGGGATAGTTCATCGCGACTTAAAGCCAGACAAGTAAGTTGTTCAATTTATAGTGAAAACACTTTTTTAAACACCCATTTTCTGTTGAATTGTCCCAACTGAAAGTAACATATTTCGCAAGTCTTTTGGTCTCCGAATTACTTCAGGTCATTTTCTTTCCATTACATCCAGTGCTTCTAATTCCCCTTTATAAATGTCTTAACAATGACTTTAGATAAGAGATTATTTACAGGGTTCCGAATACTATTAGCTTATTGGTATATAGTACCAAGTTGAATATCATGAATTATTATCTTGGAAAGAAGGATGTAGTATACGCTAGACAATGCATTTTACGTTCTTTTTTAAAAAGATTTTCCGTACTTTTGGACTTCAGTCGTATATCTTATCATGTACCTATTCAGTCTACTTTTAAGATGATTGGCTCATTGAGATGGTTGATGCCCTTTATTTTCTGCTTAAAAATAGAAGTATTGATCACGTGGATAACCTAGTGACAAGACGTAATCTTGTGACGGAATAAATGAAGTACTGTGGAGAGTGTCAAATTCATCCCACTCCATTTCGGATTTAACTTGTAGGTATAAACTCTGTGTATTGTAATATTCCTATTGATTTTCACTGTTCATATTGTCTTGTGTAGCATAGTGGCAATACCCTACTCAACAAATGTTAACATCTTTAAATTATATCACTTAGTCAACACTGAATTTTTCGAATCCTTTATTTGGATGCAAACATACGCATATTTCATCGTAGTTCACTTTGTCATACAAGCAACCATTTGTATTCATTCTCAAGTAAACATTTATTCCCTTATGAAAATAACACAAAACAACAAAATAATATGATCATGTTAACAACTGTAATATTGCCTGTATGAGCCTGTTGATTGTAAAACGTTAGCTGCAGTTTATTATACTATGATATTTATGCATGAGTGAAATACATGGGCGTAATTTTAATATAATACACCACCCAGTCTTTGTTTGAACAATCCGTATGGATTAAAAAATAATGTGTAAAGCTTTCGTACTCCACAATTTACTCAGTAAGGTTTTTTATTCCGTGCTGCTAGCTTCAATACGTGAGTTTCCATGAATAGCTGAATATTCTAGTGAAATGGTTATGCTTTACATAATGGTTTCAACTTGTCAACCAAACTTTCAGGAGCATTCAAGCTATCTTTATTTCTTACTCCTCTTGGATAGCATAAATGTGTGTATTGAAACTCTTAATGAAGATTTCTTTCAACCCGAACAAGGTGGTTGCTGACGAAATCTCATCTCGGATACAGGAGACCCGTTCAGCATTTACCGACTTGCGTCACCTGTGGCTCCGACTGGCGAGATTTCCGAATATCAATCAAAGAAGACAGTCGTTGAAAGTAGAAGATACTAAGCGATTACTGGGTTTTGATCACTGATATCTTCGTAGCAATACTTGAGTTTTGTAGAATCACCGTGTAAGCAATTTTAAAGTCAGGCGACGGATACAAGGTAAAATAGTTAAACTGATTGATGAGGTTGTGAATCACAGTCATCTGAGATGGGTTGGACATGTATTGCTGATGCTGAGCGATCCCCTACCCCGATGTGCCATGCTAGGGGGATCTGAATTAAGCTGGAAGAGGTTTCACGGTGGTCAGATGAAGTCATGGCACCAGTGCATGAAGTTCCTAACTATTAGCGTGAGGAGTTGGGGCTGACTTAGACTGCCTAGTTGGGTTAACCAAGACGATAGGAATCAACGACTTAGAACTGTTGGTGACATGGCTGGAAATCGGTGACAGTGGCACGGATGTATTCACTCCTTGACATCTGAAGCTTGAATATTGGCACTAACCGTTGTCTTCAGATTATTTATTCTCTTACACAACTTTGTCTACTTTGATATCACTTCCCCACCTGTTCTTTGTGTGGTACTGTGAAGTGAAGCAACTTGAGCCGATGCACCTATGTGAGAAGCTCTACGTTGATTTTGTCAGTCAGTCTTGCAACAATAGTGCAAGCCTGCCTATTGGTTTCTCCAGCTTCCACTTTGTGTCCTCGCACTATTATTTTCATCGCTGTAATGCATTTAACGTATCTACAATTAGCTTTTGTAAGTTGAAATCTATGCCTTCCTTAAACCTTATCCAACCTTGCTTTTCACTTTTTTTACTCATCAATGAAGTCTGCTGATAACCCATGAAGGTCATATCAAGTTAACTGATTTTGGCCTGTCTAGAATCGGTCTGATGAATTTGGCCACCAATTTATACGAGAAAAATTTAGATTTAGAAAAAGACTGTAAAATGTTTCGTGATAAGCAGGTCTTTGGAACACCGGAATATATTGCTCCCGAAGTGATTCTTCGTCAGGGTTATGGTAAGTAATCTTCCTCACTTTTACTGTCGTCTCCAGTTTCGTATGCCTTTATATTGCGGGTGAATCAGAAATCTAAATTTCGCAGTTTTCTTCACCAAAGATGGCTGAGTTATTACGTAAATTTTTGAGGAATAATGCACTCCATTTAGATACACGCTTAATATTTTTTTAGATGATTAATATCTTGGTAGTATGAGATATTTGATTGTGCATAAAGTATTTGGGTTCCATGTATGTTAATATATATTTCATTGATTACTACACCACAATTTATTTTACTGGGATCAGTAAATTGATTGACAGATTTATTCTAGACATTCGAATACATCGAAACCTGGCAGTTATATGTTGTTGCCAGCAGTCACACTTTGAATCAACACAGTCAGGAAATAGTGAGGCATATGAGTGGAAAAAATAATATCAGAAGTCATGCACTACTACAAAACAAAAAGTGGAGATAAGTAAAAATGTATAAAGTGAGGATCTAGCTGAAGACCGGGGTCTACGGTATTGTGACTTTCTGTTTTGACTTTCCTTATGTCTCAAGCGGGAAGTTTTCATGGCTTACCCCAGCAGTCTGGAAGTGTGAGTTGATTCAAAATATCAGGCTGATTGCATACAGCATCTGAATTTCATACCAGTTCCTTTTTGTATATGATAGCAATCAGCAGCTATGTGTGTGCTGTTCAACTGAAAGGATATGTAAAAACTGGGAGGGATCATGCCACCCACAGATGTCTCCGCCTACTTGCACACTGACTGTAGTTGGATGAGACGAAGGATGAATTCAAGAAGTTGAGAACGTCGAGCGTGTATTCACAGAGGGGGTTAACTGAGCATTTATCTGAGTATGGCGAACATTCTCGTACTGATCAAAGCTGGCGTGATACTCAGTGCGCTGTAGAAACCAGTGAGGTTCTGAAAGTGATTGATGCGAGAAGATTCATTTAAACTAGTCCTGATCACTATGAGGCGCGAATGCAGCGCACACGCATATCGACTAAGAGTCAACCAGTGGTGGGGTGACGAAAGTAAGAAGTTGGCATCGACATTAGGTATTACTGTGCAATCTCTTAGGCTTGTTATTAATACTGCCAGATAAAATACTATAGTATGATCATCATGGAGAGAGATAAGCCCTAATGACCTCTGAAGGATAGGTGGCTAACATGCTTTCCAGGACACTTCTAGGAGAATTTCAACAAAAGCTCGAGAGAACCTTACAGGTTTATGATCTACACAGTGGCTAATCGATTTGCGATTTCTTAATATATCAACTGATCCAAGTACCCTCCAAGAATTCATTTTACTTCTTTTTTATTTTTACTGCTCTCAGGCAAACCTGTTGACTGGTGGTCCATGGGTATCATGTTGTATGAGTTCCTTGTGGGATGTGTCCCATTTTGTGGTAATACTATAGAGGAACTTTTTGATAACATAATAACAGGTATGTTTTTCTAGGGAAATTCGTGTACATGTTTGACTGCATTTAAAAAAATAATAAATAATCTAAATTCTAGGACATCAAATAAATTGAAATGTCGTCAATGCATATTTTTATCTATCCTTTCTTCCTTCTTTCTAACCTTGTCCTAATAAATTCAACAAGCTATGCAAACTGACCACGTGTTTTCGTAATCGATAGTGACTTTATTAAGCAGTGTTATAATAATTGTTTGAAATCAGAAATAATCAATATTTGACTCCGTCGATGTTTTTTCTCTCTCTTCAGTTTTCCATTTTTTATGTCTCATGTATGCCCACGTATGCTTTACATAAATGTGCATTCATTGCATATTGTATCGCTTCGACATTGTAATAACTTTTGACGTAATTGTAGGTGACATGTTTTAGTAGCACTTTCATATTTTGAAAGAATAAAAAGAAATCTATGTATTTGTAATTTCTCCTGTTTTCGTTTCATCGTGTACAAGCATCAAAATATTGACGCGATAATCTTCCACCCAATCTAACGAAGGTTACTGCTTATAATCCCTTTTTTATGTTGGTTATCATGTTTTCGTCTCTCTGTCTTCTAAATTACATGAAGTATAAAAAACGGTTGTTAAGCATCTCTCATTTACACAAAATTGTATGTTATCACGAAACCAGTGGATACCTTTCTTTCAGTCCTTTCTATACCCTTGCTTACGCAAGTAATTGCATTGGAAGTAACATAATAAGCAAGGGTATATGTCTGCTTCCCGACCGATAGCTGCTACCTTGACGTGGTGGCCGAACCTGTATATCACGATGGGCCTACGAACTATTCTGGTGAAACGCTTGTTCTCTCAAGGTTCTCCCATTCCAGAAAGTTCCATTGGATATATATATATATATATATATATATATATATATATATATATATATGTAGGGAGAGAGAGAACTAGTCGACGCTTCCGCATAACCTAATCGAATATCTCGTACAACTGAAGAATAGGTGTTTTCGTATTTAGGTTTGTTCATAAAACGTAGCCATGTATGCTTTCTTCCTAGTATGTGCACTTTATTCTCAAAATATCATTTGAATAATAAGATGATCATTTATTTAGAAAGATACTAATTTGACTTCTTTTGTAAAGATCATGTTGTCTAGTACCTTGATTTGAACTTGTGAAAGATGAATTATAATTTTTTGTGTTGCTTTACCAGCACCGATCGATTGGCCTGAAGAGGAAGAATGGAAAGTCACTCCATCTGCTGTTGATATTATAACAAGACTTCTTGAACGAGATCCTCTACTTCGTCTTGGGACTGTCGGAGGGTCCTCTGAGGTGAAGGAGACTCCGTTTTTCTCTGGTCCTAGTGCAGTAGATTGGAACAACTTGCTAAGGCAGAAAGCTGCTTTCGTACCTCAACTTGAACACGATGAAGATACTTCGTATTTTGATCCACGTACTGATCGTTACCAGCATGACGTAGAGAATGACGAAGACATCTATGCCTCCTATGGACTACTCATCACATAGCAACCGATCTTCCCCTGCTCCTCAACTGTCAGCCGCTCGAAATTTCAGTTTTAATTCTTCTACTGATCATACCTTAACGAGTATTATTCGAAGACCTGCAGCTTCACGTCTTGGACGCGCTAAGCAACAAGCAATTGAACATAAACGTAGTCATAGTCTGGGGGATAGTAACAACTTATTCCTTCATCCATTTAAATCACGCTCAAAAGTCGAAGTATTCGTGGTTCACCAATTAACACCCCTCAGTCACTCATTCATTCAGAACTAAGTAGTTCTAGCTCCCAGCGGTCTTTGTGCTATCAGAAATATGGATCTGACAAAGTGGAACATGATTTAGTAACGTCTACTTTAACTCCAGAATCTGTAGCAGGTCGTAATGCATTACATATGTTACAAAATTTATCGTTAACCTCCAGCAACTTGGGAAGTTCCTTATCTCCGAAATCCACAAGCGATAATGGTATTCATAGTCAGGAAACTTCAGTATTCAAAAACAAGCTGGAAAAGTTAAATATAGATATTACAAAACGCGAGTCTTCTGATGATGAGGTTGGCAACAGTCAGAATGTCAGTGATGAATCGCGTACGTTTCAATACTTTCATCATACTCCCCTCGCTTCTCAGTGGTTCTAGAACAAGCCAGGATTAATGAACTTTTGCAAGGCAATTCTAATGTGAGTTTAAATGGTTCAGATAATGTGAACGAAAAAAATCCACTTCATGCTTCATCCCCTCGCATTTATTTGGATTGTCTAAAGATTTAAACGCCAAGCATTCTGTTACTGAAGTTCCCAAGGATTGCACTCTATCTAAGACAGATGAGCAGATGTCAATTTCAGACAAACAGGACATTATTCCTTCCGACCATATTTGCAAAGAAGTTTCTAGATCATCAGATGTAAGTAATTCTGCCAATATTGTTAACATCATTACTACTGGTTGAGTAATTATACGTACAACGGTGTTAGTTTTAATTCCTTAAGATCTGTTTGATATTTAAGTAACTGTGTCACACTATTCATTATATAGATTATCTGATATTAATATAACTAGGATCATTTATCTGGTAAATGTAGGTATACTATAATGCAAATGTTACCGTGTTGCTTTTTTAGTCTAGGGTTTCAGAATTGAGTGTATGTTATTCTGTATTGTATTGTTTATCTCAGCATTCTCCATCTTCCAATTATTAATAATACTATTATTATTTTCGTGATTGGTAAACTCGACTTTCAGGTAGTGAGTTTTTAGTTCCAATCCCACTTCATCTACTTTGACCTAAACAACCAAGTAGTTTCAAAAGCCCTCACGCCGTATGATTCAGCCTAGTACATGAAACATGTAGAATGTTGAGGTGTATTATTATTATCATTATTATTATTATTAAAGATCAGCTTTATTTATGAAATAATATTTGGTCCAAAATGTTTTCCTTTTGGCTTCAATCTAGATTCAACCATCTAATACCCAGGATGTTCCAGCATGCTTCAAATCAGATCAGTGTCCGTCGAAGTTTACTAGCTCCAGTGTTGTTGTTCCTTCAATCACCCATACTGCTACTGAAAATACGGCGACTATTAATCCAAATCTCGAAGAATCAGGTGAATGGCATATGGTTTCTGATGTCAATGAAGATTGCAAATCTTCAGAATCAGATTCTAACTCCAGTTTGGAACTCTCTTCATACAATTCACTCATTCCGTCTTCTATCAATTCTTCCTCTGTAAATGAATCAGATTTACCAATATATCAAACTATTGCTCCTATCTCTTCAGAATCAGCTCAAAATTCTCCACCAAAAACAAAACTTTTACTTGACGCTGCACAATCCCTTAGTAATACCTCAAATTCTTCAAAGTCAGTTTTAAATTCCCCATCCACTACGTCATTTTCATTGACCACTGTTACTCCTCTTCCAACACCTCATCCAGACTCATGTCTCTCGCTAATTTCTGATGGTTCTGCTTCACACAAAAGACCTTGGTTTCTGAATGTTGATTTGAAACCAGAAGGTGAACTAATGGCTCATCGCGGTACGACAGTGACTACATCTGCTGATTGTCACCAACGTACTACACGTACGTGCATGTCTTTCAAAAGCACTTCACCTATCCCTTGTCAAGTCAGTGGAAGTCATACAACCCCTGTTAATACGTGTTGTTCTCATTTACCATTCCCAGCCCAGCAGTTACCACCTCGCTTATTGCTCATTAACGACAATTCTTCTCGTATTATGCACCCATCCAGTCCTCCTGTGGTTCCTAATACCCCTAATGTACTATCATTTTTGTCTAATTCACCTGGTGTTCCTCGCCAGGCAATTATAATTCATAAAGGAAAACAAGGTTATGGTTTTGTTTTCCGAGCTATTCGAGTATTCTTCGGTCGATCTGATGCGTATACATTACATCATCTTGTAATTGGGGTCGTACCTCATGGTCCAGCAGCCAAAGCCGGTCTCAAAGAAGCTGATCTGATTTTGAGTATTAATGATGTGTCAACCATTGGAATGTACCATACGGATGTTGTCAAGTTAATTTTACAGGTAGTATACCGTTTATGGGTAGTTTACTTCATCCTATTTCACAGCACTAATTTGTTAATTTGAGAGGTGTACTTGGACACACTAAGGTCCCTAACAGATGTCCTGAGCACACAACATTATGGAGGTTGGATATTTAAAGCGGAGTAATGATCAAAGAATTATGGTTGCACATTGAAGTTTTTATTACTATTCTGGTATAATTGGCTATATATATTCGCAGTGATATTTGAAAACATTTCAGCCTAATACATCCCATAGTCTCTTAGATTACGTTTACTGTTTCTCTACTCTCTAGTAAACTCTCATGTATTAGAGCTATTCTTTATCGTACCATACAATTCTCTTACATCCGTAAGCAATACTCGGTTTCGAAGAGTGGGATTTGCTAAAATGATCTTATGTCATGTCAGAGAATTTACTATTACCTCACTGAGACAACGAGGCGTAAACGCGTGGTAGTTTTGCATTTTCGTCTTTCTATTTTCGTACTGTTTGCATACCAGGAAGATTTGATGGCTTTCAGAACTTTCATTTTTTAAGATACTTATACAAATTCATGTAATCTATCGAGTGTGAAATCACACAAGGTTTTAATGATGAATTCATCTACGGAAATCGGTAAATTTTCCAACCTATAAATAGCTTATTGAAAGACACTTCTCATAAACAAGAAGACTGTTTTCCATTTCAATGGCTGTCAATTTATTAATCTTTTTTAATCAAAGTTTTGAAAATCTCACTCGCTTTTTTCAAGAATTGATGCGTGATAAAATACCGGTTTCACTTTTAACTATAATTCTCAGTTTGTCTACTTATAGTTTCCTATTTATTTACTTATTTCAAACAGTTGGTTGGTAAAGTAAGTATGGAAGGCTGTTAACTGGATGTATGTGTGTAAATGACTTGCAGCATGTCACAAATTGTTTCCAACATTTAGTTTACTGTTGAACAAAACCTACCTTCATAGTTAGAGATCACGATGCCAGTCACCAGGCTCTAGATTTCTGATTTCATAGATTAGAAAGTGTACTTCGAGCATGGTCTAAGGTTTGCAAGTGGAAATGACGTAGCTATTCAGTATTTCTTATTGGTTTAGTTTATCATTAAAAGTCACTCATGATAATGTCTCAGAAGGTGAAACCCCTAGGTATATAAATAAATCATTGTATATGGACTAAGGGAGATCGACACAGAACAGCTAATAACCCATTCCTAGAGGAGGTCGATCTCAGCCCAAGAAGTCATCCACCGCAGCACTGGGTGACGCGGATTCGAACCTCAGAGGGGGACACCAGTTCCTTTGAGGTTTCAGGACCCCTTGCTAGTGAGTACCAACAAGCACGAAACTTAAGCCAAAGGCTCCCTGCCATTCCCCTCCAACTAGCTAAAATCTGAGCAGCGTTTGGTATTCTATATGTAGTGTGTAAAAATTGAAAACTTAAACTCACATTAATAATAAATTACAACAACAGGCCGTGTGGCTATTAGACTTTTGCTAACATAGTTAGTATAAGGGTAAGTCTCGTAGTACCGCTTATGTCCATGGCATCGTGCTTTATGTGAAAACCATTAAATATAGTAAAATACAGTGTGGTTAATACCTATTATGTAAATACCGAGTACATGCAAGACCCTGACGCTTCACAAAGCTCCTTAATCTATTTTTTTTTACGTTACTGTTAAACTGGCTTATAAAATAATCATTCCTCATAATCAAATAACGATCATTTGATTAGACCCAGAAACGATGCAAAGAGTTGTGCAGCAGCTAGTTTATTCATCTTGCGTCCAAATATAGAGGCCACACCAGTGGGCTAAAAGTAGTAATTTGGCATTGAGTTATTTCGCAATAGCTTTTCATTCATGTCAGTTATTTGTGTAATCCTACTTCATTCTTGTGCCTTTTTTGAATTTCCTTAATTCTTCAGTCATATGACTTCCATGGAATTGATAAATAGTCAAATTATCCTTTCTCTCTCTCTCTCTCTCCTTTTTTCAATGAAAACGAAACATTCAGAGTGGGACTACTTTACGTCTCCATGCAACACCGATTAGTCAGACCTTCATTCGTTCTGACGGCCCATATCGCTCTTCTGGTCGTCTTATTCCCCGTGTTTCTCCAACAGATCATTTGTCAAATAATAATAATAATAATAATAACTATACGACCAGGTATTTGAGTCAATTGTCGGACAAGCAGGCCTCTACTTCTTATATACCATCTAACTCCTTCAGAACTTGTCTAACTAATGTTCCTGGGGTACCTGAAGATGTTTCATCATCAAATTTTGATGTGAAGTCTTATGCTTCAGTGTGTGCATCGAATAATTCAAGAAGCACTGATGGAGTTGCCAGACGCGTAAATCGACGTTTGACAGTTAGAGAGGGTCGACAGCGTCATTTAAATGCCAGAAATTTAGAACCCAAAGTTGAGTGTATGCAACCAGATACTAGTTTGAACCCCTATTGCCATCATTCGGATTCTGCACCAGACGGCGCGCATCCAGAGAGATCGAGAAGTAGCTATTCTACGTCGACAGCTTGTTCTAAAGGATCAACTCAGACTTATGCTTCTGTTGCTGCGCAGCGATTCGGTATTACTCTCAATCAATTGTGTACAAATCCCCTTCCTTCTAACCCAACTTCGCAAAATAATTTGTTCTTCCCAGCACACCGAAGGTGAGTTAGATGGGTGTTTAATTGAAATCCATTCAACGTGAGTTCCCTAGGTTAGCTTACTTGATATGTTTTGTATTGAACTCTTAGTATTGCCAATAAAAGATGTCCAGTTTATACGCTCCATTGCATTGGTGGAAAATGTAGCCTATTTTTTCGCCACATTATTTTCGCAAAAAGTAAGCAATGGTATATGTTTCCTTCATCTTCTCAACTATTACTTATCCAATTACCTAATTTTTGATGATAGGGATAGTAAGAGTGGATTTTCTTGGATACCGACTTTCGATATAGTAGAAAAGATTTTTAGTTTAGGATGAGAATGATGACTTTTTGGTTTTCTCCAAGCTTTGAGGTTTGGTCAACAGGTTAGGCGACTTTATCAGTACTTACTTCCCGAAGAAGTGATTTGCTTTTCTCACTAGGTACTGTCATTTTAACTGGGTACCAGTGTATTAAAGTAAGGGTTCTCGCAAACTGTAATTCAGCAGTTCTGTTTGAAGTTGATTGTATGATAATCATCGTATTAAAGTTATCTTTAAGTTTATGAGCTTGTCAAACGAATTTGCTACATTATGGCTTGTGTAGTCAAAATGATGTGATGCTGAATAGACAACATATCATTGCCTAGCTTCATCTGGGACCTTAGTTAATAATTTTCAATCGAGTTTCAGAATAATTTTAGGTAACCCGACTTCGTTTGATCATTTTAACCAGGTGTTCATAACCCGCTATACGTACGATTTTGATTTCTCAACTGGTATTTTACAATGCAGCCCCACTTATGTTTACTACAAATGTTATGACCGTATCTATGCTACGAAACGATCTCCGATTTGCACTCCAAACCCTGTCACCCATAAATGAGATTGTAAGAATACACGAAAATGCCAGCGAATCTGTTGATTTCCTACGAAGAACAAAAGAAATCGAGTTTAGGCATGAGAAATATCTCCAGATATCGGTTAACGGGTTTTTCTGATAGTGGTCGAATTTATCAGCAAGTCTATTATTTAGATTGATTGCTTCAAACAAATATGATGTTTATTTTGAAGTGTCATGTACATAAGTGGCTTCCTAGCCTATTCGATTTAGCGGTCATCAAGATTTATTTATCTTTCTTCTAAAAGTGGGCTTCTTTGCAGAAAAAAGTTGAAGGCTCCAAATAACGTGAAACAAAGAAGACCAGAGAATACTGATGCACCATCATCATAACCGTTTTGCAGCGTTGTTCCAGGAGTACCAACTGTAATGACTGCCTATCGTTCAGAAATCAGTTCTGATTTCCTCTGATCGATCTCAACAGTCGATTATCTCAGTCTTCAAGAAAGTAGAAAAGTCATTTTGTGATAACCACAGAGGAATCACTTTGACAAACATAGTGTCTAAGATTCTATTTTCGATGATCACTAGACACCTTTGTGAAGCTCGGAAAAAACGAATTGGAGGAAACCAAGTTGGTGGACGTATCGAGCATATTTTCAATGACCGACTGGATTTCGGAACACTAACATGTGTCTCATTCATCTGATTTTGTCTGCATCTGTCAATATGAAGACGGTTTTCGACCTTATGGATAGAGAGATCCCATGTCAGTGTCCTTCACTCAGAGAAATGTCTGTCAAGAAAATGATCCTTCTGAAGGCTTTGCACTCTATCACTTGTGGTTATGTTACAGCTGTCGACTGCGATGTCTGCATCATGTGATGTCTATCGAGAAAGTGTAGTCTCTTCAATTCTCTCAGACTTTGTCATAGATGTGCTTATCGAAGTGTCGCTCTTTACGTCTGATTTCACTCGGATGTTGGCCTCACCGCCCAACACTCTCAAGTCGACGTGGAGTGAACAGACAGCATAGTTCTGTTGGATAAAGATCTGACGGGATCCAGTCTTTTGGATACTGGATGATGATTTGAGGGGGAGAGGAAGAGAGTATTTACGATAGACTTTTCATCCCAGAATGCAAGGAGCTAGTGACTGATGAAATCTTGTCATGGATACAAAAGACTTAGTCGATTTTTGCCGGTGAGATAATCGATTGCTTAATCAGGGTGATGTGAACTGCTCAGTAGTTCGTTGTGTTCTCGAATCGAAACCCGGTCAGCAGTGTTGTGCGCATTTGTGCAGTAGGCAGAGTTATACTTATTTTGTGATCACTAATGATACTATCTGATTGTCCTAGATTCAGTAGATTGTGTTGTATTCTAACACATGATCCGTCGGTTCTCGCTCTGCCTTTCCCTATCTTCATGAAGTCTAGTTTTCAAAGGTTTAGTGTCAAAGAATGCCTGGCAGTATTTTTCAGGACAGGCAGATGAATAATGTACATTTTAGGTGTAAAATCCTAATTGGAAGAGGTAAGTCAGTTGATGAGCATATGATGTGTGTTGCACATAAATGGTCATCGTTTGTTACGCCGCAAAAAGATGATTCGCTTCTCATGGTAATATGCCTCAGAATTAATTACTGAGGGCAGGATGCCGTTACACCTCATGTTCATCGGGATGTTCTTTTTTCCTATCTATTCTCCTCATTTCCTTATTTCCATGTTATTGTCTACGCTTGAGTATTCTTTTTTTCACCGTATTAGTCTATCTTTCATGTTGTTTCTTCTGATTTCGGTGTGTTGACGTAAGTTTGAGGTGAAAAATAAATTTCTGATGTTTCCTGGCCTTCTTCTGAGAAAAGAGTGCCACGAAACATTAGAAATTTATTTTCCTCCCTTATTGGGATTTAATAAATTTGTTTCATTCATTCATCATTATTATTACTTTCGCAATGCACTCTTCTATTCTGGGTATAAATCTTGTCCACAACTATTTTTGATATGAAATGCTATACGTTTTATTGTTTACTTACGAATTTTTCATGATATTCATTAAACCTAATTACGTTTCAGTTTACTTTAACGGTTCATATTGGATTTATCCTAATAGATCACTAGAAAAGCCTCTTATTCGTCAGTTGAGTGAACGACAACATCGAGCTCTGTTCCTTACGACTGATGATGGATCACCGTCACATAATCCTGCAATTTATTCTGCGCGAAATGTATTCTCTTCCAATTCGTCTCATCAAAGTCCCAGGTCTGATCATCATCAGCAACATAGCGTTTTTAATTTCCACAGACCATCTCTAACGGTCACTTCAAGTTCATCTGGCTCGTCACTGTCCTCTTCTAGTTGGTACTCCGGAGGAGGAGAATTGTCTTCTCATAGTTCTCCTGGGTCCGGTAGTCCTTCTGTTCCTTCCGTTCCTCGATCGTATGATGCTACTCATCCACCTCTTAATCCATTTCAACAGGCACGTTTTGGCAGTTTACGTGCACCGTCTAATTCAGCTACTCAGTTTGTCAATCCACATATGGAAAATTCCTCAGTTAAGTTACCATTCGCCTGTCAACAAGTAACCAAATCTGCATTTATTCCACAGAATCGCAACGCCTCTCAATGTAGACATAGCGATCCAGTACGACCTATTGGAGTAAGTTTATCATCGATACACTGGTTTTGTTGTATGTTGATGTTGATCTAAGTATAGTGAAACAACTAGTATAGCACAACTCGTATAATTCTCTTATTTTATATATTCTAGTGTTAGATCGTATGCGTATATATCCTTTTTAAAAACATGTTTCTGAAACCGTTAGTTAAATTGCTTTGAGTTCAAGCCCAACTCCACCTACTTTAAAATGAGCGAATGGATAATATTATAATGCTTTCCACAATAAGTGTGGTTCCTAACCGAGTGCATATACGTGTATGAGATTACTGAGTTGTTTTCTGTAGTCAGGATTGTTACCAGAGATTTAGTTTGCTGTGACTTCATTAGCAATGGTGCATTATTATAAGTTATGTATGACATTTTTAAAAACCGATATCATACTTTGATTTTTTTTTCAAGAAACCACGGGGTGCTCGATCTATCTGTTCTGTCGTATCCAACACTCAGAACCCTTACACGTTTACCGTTTCAGTTCAAGCTTCTGTCTCAAATCCATCTCAAAATCCTGTCCAAAATGTTGATTTAGACAAATTCTCAGTTCAAGCTAATGCTTTAGTGTCATCAGGTCAGGTTCGACTGCGTAGACATAGTCATCGGTTTGCTGTTCAACATGTAGCGTCACCCAGTAGTCCAGCAGAAAGTGGGGATGAAAAATCTAAAAACCATCCATAAATGCTGATTTATTGGTCTACTTTTCACCTACTTTTTGTGTTCACCTTATTTTTATTTTGTTAAAATTGCAAATGCTTTCAGATCAGACAGACTTATATACTGTGATTTTCGCTTCCAAATGCTGGGATATTAAATCAAGTTCATAGCCAAACTTCTGACACTTTTCATGTGTTTCAAACCTCCCGGTTATCCATTTGACTTTTCTGTATTGCTGCTTCTCTCCCCGTAATAGCCCATCATTGTCTGTTTTTTTGTTGTTGTTACTGTTATTTTACGGAGTTTCAAACAATTACTGTTACTGTTTAAATGCCTAAGTACATATCTTTCAAAATGTATATCTTCATCGAACTCGAATATTCTTTCTCGTTTCATTATACATTTACTTATGTTTGCAGTAAGTAGTTCTTGTATGATGGCTTCAATGTGCCACATTCCCTGCAATACATATGTTGTGATTATATGGTTAATGTAGTCAGATTTTTAGTCGTATGGTAGTCTTGAATTCTATTCTGTTTTAATATGTTATCGAAATACACAACTGTCATCATTTGTGATCATGTCCAATAATTGTCTTCCTTTATTTTTTAGTTACGTCATTGCTTTCACCTTCACAGACTAATTTATTTGTGTATTGTTTGTCAATTAATATTAGTTCATGTTTCTTTGTGTTCATTGAATCATCATTCAGTGTGCCGTAAATTACATAAATGAAATTTACTTTCACGTGTACAAAATGATGTTTTTCTCTGCATGGAAAAATGAGTTACTGAATTTATTTACTAATATGGTTTGTACAGTTCTTATGTATTCACCTTTTCGTGTGCTTCTTTCTGCCTTGGTAACTGCTTTGCTGACTAAACTTTGTACTTTTACTAGAAATTGTTTATTTGACAGCTTTCTTCTCTTCTGTCATTATTTACATCATAGTTATCACCATTATTGGAGTGGTAGCACTAAACTGATTTCGTTTATTTTTCTTGTCTGGTAAGTGAGTGAATCAATATATTTACTGTTCTCACGCTATTTTATCTGAGTATTCACAGCGTGTAAAGAGAGTTCTCTCTCCGTTTTTTCTCTGAAGTATATGCATACTTCATTTCAGTTCTTTTTGCTGTGCAGACACATTCTTTTTTCAAATACAGTGTAAACACTAACTTCCATCATTTACACATTTTTCACTATTCTTGAGCTAACCCGATAACATATTGCATTAAAAACTTGCATATTTTAAGTTTTATTTGCCTGTTCTCTGTCTCTTCACTTTGCCTTCGTGTGCTTATGTTCTTATGACCAGTTGATGAAGATTTGTTTCATTTGCAACTGACTTTTTGATGAATTTAACGGTTGGGCATTTAAGGCAGCAGTTTAAGTAATCGATTCATTCAGTGTTATGTTATTCTTTTCTAACTATCGTCAGAGGCCACTAAGCGATTTCCTGATAAATGACGGGTCACCATATGAAATAAGAACACAACTCATATAGTAAATTTTTATGTCGAAGCAGCCATATTGTTATCAACTTGAGTGTCATTTAAGAGAATACAAGAAACTGTTATTGACTCAATGCATTGGTTTTTGTGTAGTGATAGTTTTTTTTTAGGAAAAGAAATGCTGGGAGGTGATTCCTTGTTGACTAAATGTGATATTTATTGCCATTCTTCCCTAGCCATCCTATTTTTTTGCAGTCTATTCCTGGCCAAACTAGGTTGCTTTATAACCAGTAACTGCTTCGTCACACCTCGGCATAAGTATCAATAAACTGAGAACACTCCAGACATTGAGATAGTTTCTTGTTAATTGTGAATACCTCATTCGTGCAATGCACGTAAACATTACTACTCTATTCAAACAAGATTACTATTTGATTATTAGTTTGTTCACGTAACTCAGCAGAGCGTCAAACGAGAAGCTACTAGCTTTCTTTCATATCTAGTCATTATCCCATCAAGGTACACACCATTCTTATTTATGAGAAAGTTGTATATTTAGATTGATAAGTCTATTTTATACTAAAGAAACCAAAGATAGAAAGAGAATGACAAGTTTAGTTTCGAAATTTTGTGCTTCACAGCAAATGTTAATAAACGCATTGTTCATATTTACTTAACGTTTGTTATATTTGTCAGAATTTGAGTGTGTCACGACTGTGTTGACTCATTACCAGAATGCACAGAGACTTCGAAATCTGGAGTTTTTATCCTAACATCTGATCCTTGCACTTGGATTTCATTCTTAGGACTACGTATATTTGTTATCCTGTTGGGAACTTTGAGATCATCTGGGCTGCTTGAATCTTGCGATGTTTGGTCAGTAGATGTTCGATTTGGAGATAAGCTTTTATAATTCAAGCGTTTATTTTTTCCTTCATATGAACTTACAGTACATCGTCTGTCGACTTTCGGACTGGCAACAGCACGTGATCCACGTACTCCTCTTCGTCTCGGAGATAACGAGCATGCATAAGCTCTTCGACTTGGTGATGTAGATTTAACCAAGCTCATTTCACCTCTTCTACGATCTAGTTCGGCATTTAGAAGTCTGCCTTCCGTTTCAGCCTGCGATCGAAGCTATTAGATGAAAAGAGAGTAAAATTAGACTAAATCATTGTCTTCTAGTCAAAAATTCAATGCGCACCCACAATCTGACTAATAAATGTGCTCAGAACCGTTTCACAGCTAACACCTTACCACTCAGCCAGTGTTTGAATTCAGTTGTCGATTCTTTCCTGCTAGATTTGTCTATCAACCTCGCCTGGTCAACAAGCTCACTAGTTACTAACCGGTCCTAAGCCTGGATAAAGAGGGAAAGTTAGGCATAGGGCTAGCAACCCTACCTCGGAAAAACAATCCAATCGCTAAACAAACTTGAAAGCACAAAGAAAATATAAAAAATAAAATTAAACTTATTCCTCGCTGGAATCGGAGAGGCGAAATGACACCGGTTGGTGATTGCAAAAGAAATGAGAAGGTATAGCATACAAGTGCCAGAAATCTGCGAGAGCAGATGGAATGCAGGTGGACTCTCCCAACTGGAGAGTCAATAATCTACTCCAATATTATCACCCTGACGACAACCACGAGCACACTGAGTTTTGAAGTGGTTATCATGATGCACCCAACAGCATCAAAGCCTCTCCCCCATGCAGTGGGAACCAATCTCCTCCAGCCAGCATCAGGATCATGACAGCAAGATTCAAATCAAAAGGAAGGAAAGTCACAGTCATACAATGCTACGCCACGCTACGCTACGCATCTACAAATAATGGAGATGAAGAGAAGAAGGATGGATTCTATAGACAACTGTAATCGGTACTGGACAAGACCCCACTCCAGTTGGCGACATCGAAATTCCAATGGGTGGGGTGACATGAATGCCAACCAAACTGGGAGCAAATAACACAGGAAGAGAACTAACTGATCATGGATCGAGAAGCACTCTGTGTAATGAACGACAATGGAGAACTCTATACACACTTCTGTGCACTCAACGATTTGGTGATTGGAGTCAGGCAGTGAGTACAAACACAAGGATATTCACAAAGCGAGCGACATGGATTTGATTTCACCAGGACACACTATAACAAAAATCAGATCGACTTCATCTCAATCTGGAGGAAGTGGAGACGCAGCCTACTGGACACAAGATAAGACCAAGAAAGTGAGTAGATGTCGGTGGCTCACACCACTCACTGTCTAGTGCAAGGAACCTACCTTCGAAATCAAGTTGAAAGCTTTCACAGAAGTTGATGATAGACAGATCACAGTTGAAGTTCAACACCCAGAACAGAAAGTGAACTGAAGGACGGAACTTCAAAGGATATCTTCACGTCGGTCAGTCATCAGGGAAAAATGGTAGATATCCAGCAACATCCCCGAAGAAACCTGTGTGGATGAACACTGGAACTCTTTCAAAGAGATGTGGAAAGAAACCTGTATAACCGTATTAGGAAGGAAGAAGAAGCGGTGAGACAAGAAATGGATGTTGATGGACACATGGAAGCTGATAGCGGAGGGAGAGCGAGATGGTGAGGCAGAAGATGAACCAGTGCAGTGCAGGGATGAACAACGAGAAGAGGAACTGAATACAACCTATAAAAACACTACACTGGACAGAGAAGTGGAGAAGAGTGCACGGAAAGATAAAAGGTACTTCTATGACACACTTGTAGCTGGAGCAGAACAGACTGTGGGCAGGAGAGACAGACCTGACGATACTATATCAAATAGCCAGGTTACTATCTGGTGGGGGGGGGAGGGGGAAGAGATCAACGCAGACGAAGCCAATGAAAGGTAGTGAAGGAAACCTAGTTACCGCTGAGGGGGAGAAACAAAGGAAACGATGGACTGACCACTTCAAAAAACTCTTGAATAGACCACCATCTACAACTCGTCCTGAAATACCACCAGTAGTCGAGCCACAGAATTACCAGTGAACACAAGTACTCCGACAAAAGTAGAAGTGAATTCCTGAACGGCATTAGGTTACTGAAATCCGGCAACGCAGCAGGACCGGATGGAATTCCTCCAGAAGCACTGGGAACAGACTGAGAGACAACAGCGAACACGCTCACACCACACCAGTATTGCAGAAGGTTTGCAAGGAAGAAAGGCAGGAAAGGTACCTGCCAGTTGATTGGAAGAAGGGCTATCTTGTCAAACTCCCAAAGAAGGGCAACCGTAGTCTTTGCAAGAACTGGTGCGGAATCATGCTCCTGTCCCTGTCCCTGTCCACCCAAACCAAGCAAAATATTATGCCGCATCATCCTCGGCAAACTAAACAATGCTCTGGATTTAAAATGACAACCGGCAAAGGCTGGCTGCCAGGCTTCAGGAAGTACAAATCATGTAAGGATCAAATTGCAATACTTCTCTATGCATCATCTCATCATAGAACGGAGCGTAGAATGACAGTCAACTCTCCCTTCACCTTACCTCAACTTCATCGATTTTGAAAAAGCCTTCGATAGCGTCGATCGAGAAGTAATTGGCAGGCAGCTGCTTCAACACTACAGTTTTAGTGCCTGCCACAAACCTTTATCAACCTCATTCAACAGCAGCTGCATGATGTATGGAGACGCCATATGCTGAGTGACTCACAATGGAAAGCTATGTGACGCCTTTGAAGTGAAGACAGGGGTACGACAAGGCTGCCGCCTACTATCAACCATCATCTTCCTGATGGTGGTCGACTAGACTGAACTGAACTGGACTGGACTGGATCATGCAACAGACAACTGTGAGGAGCGAGGAGATGAGCATACGCTGGCTGGATCGATGAAAAGACCCCAGAAGGAGATTTGGATTTCGCCACCGATGATGATTTATGTCTAATGTCTTGTCGCACAAATTCGGAGGTATACGGGCAGAAGGTCGGAGGTAATTTGAGGTATCTAGACGTTTTTACTGTAGGATGAACGAGTTTGCAGTTTTAAATTTGGTAGTTTTTCTTTGTCAGTTTGGATTTGCGTGATAGACATATCTATTACTGTTATTTTACTTTTTGTCTCTTGGGTTCCTAGTGAAATATAGGGCTTCAGTAGCACGTCGCCATTTCCCTCTTCTCTGTAGTCTTTTCGATCTGGCTCCAAGACCTCCTACAAGCTTTCATTTCTTCCTCACACCATCTCCTGCATATCACCCTCACCTCGGACGCCCAACTCTTCGTTCCCCCTTTTGATCCCACTGGAGGCACTGGTCTCACGAGTGATGTCACCAATCGGTCTTCTTGGTGCATACCCAATCCACCTCCACTTTCTTCTGCATATTTGTTGGGTAATAGGTTCTTGGTTAGTTCGTTGCCAGTCAGAGTTCCTTGTTGTGTATTCTTATTATTCTCCCCATCTGATCTTCAATGTGAGTATCGAGTGAAGGTAGGCGGAAGCCGTTGGTGAATGTCTGTAGTTTGTTGGAAATGCTCTTCGTAACGCTCCAAGTCGCTCAAACATCACATCAGCACTGACTTGCTTGACTGAATCAGTGTTGAAAATCCGGATCATGTTTCGCTTTACACTGAGTGGAATGCAGTGCAGTAGATCTCCACACTGATTATTTCAGGTTAATGCAGGAAGGCTTGTCTTGCTGTCTTTCCGATCCTGTCTTTGACACCCTCGTCTTTGCCGCGGACTGTAGTTGAAACGATGCTGCCTAGGTGGGTGAAAGAGACTACTTCCTCTAGGTTTCTCCCGTTCATGGTGATTGGTGGTTGTTGTTGTTGATGCTGTTGTTGGTTGGTTATCTTCATCACCTCTACCTCTGTCTTCTCTACGTCCACCTGAAGGAAGTCTTGTCTTCGCTGCTCTGCCTCGCCTCGCCTCGCCTCCTCTGTCAACCAGTAATTGCTAGGACTATTATTTCTGTTTTTCAAATTTTAATTACTGCTCTACTAGCTAATTGCTAACAGCAAAGTTTTGCTTGTCCCCAATGTTCATGAAACAATCAGACCACCTGCTGATGAGTTTGTAGTTAATGAACCGAGGCTGTAAACTTTCTGATGAACAAACATCTTGTTTATTTACCAAGTAATTTTCCGCTTTATCACAGATGGATGTGGAATAATATGTTGGCAAATTTGATTCTGTAGTAAAATAAAATACTTTGTTCAACCCTATCACAATTTCTTAAGATTTCATCCCAGTTCACTTTAGAATTGCTCAAAACTCCACTGTGATCTTGTAAATGTATTAGATTTCCCAACGCTCAATCGATTTCCAACTTTGAGTCAATCAATGTTTGATCATGTCCAAATCTGAAATTTTTTATTCACTGAATAAATTAGTGCAAGATCAAATCACTTTATCCGATGGACGTGATTAAGATGATTTTCGTGATACAACTCTATACTTCTACCTCATCTTAGTTTGTAAATCATTAGCAGTTCGCTCTTACTACTTCGAACTTCTACTGTTCAGTAGACCAGGACGAATGGTCACTGAGGTCTTGAAGCACCTCACATTGACGGACTGTATTACTGACATTACGGAATAGAAATCAGAATCCGTTATGCAATTGTCGGGCAAATCTAGCTGATTTACGATTACTGATTTATCTTGAAGAACAGTTTTGACGGATACCTTCTACATTGGTGTTTTGATCCGGGAGAACTTGTACTCTTGAGCTTCTACCATACCAGAAAGACATGTTGGATAGCTATAAGACAAAACCCAGCTACTTACAGGTCAATTTACTACTCGGTGAAGAGAGTTCGAGGGTGAATTCGCTGTGCTAGCTGAACCGGGTTGTAACAGCTGTAGGGTGTTTTCCACGAGAGATCACCAGTATGATGCTGCCTGTATGAGGAAAGTTGACCCCAGAAATAGCACGCTGATCCCTGTTATGTGGCATTCTGGTTCCAGTAGTATGACTTTTCTAGCTGATTTTAAACCAATCAAAGCCTAGTTCTCAACTTTCTGGAAATGCCGCATGTAGCCGGCATGAAGCACATATCTATGGGGTTTTTGGCTATGTATAACTATTGCCGATGCCTCTTTTATCCTATGTTCCTCAATAATAAGTTGCGTGAGCATCTGGAGGGTGTCAACCATCGTCACAACTTTGTCAACATCCAAGATCATCATCAACTTTCCACGTCTTTATTTTACACTCATTGTTCACATCTTTCGGTCACTATTTCTACTTCATCTTTAATTAGTTGTAGTTCCGTTTCTCTTGATAGCTGTCCAAGTTCACCGAACAGCATCCTTTGTCTCCTGAAACCACGCCAAAAACTAAATATTGCACCTTTCAGTATCCACACCCTCCGTTAAATAGAACAACAAGCTTCATGAGGTCAAAACTCGGACCATGGTTGTATGCTGTATCTGTGAGACATACATGCAAAATACCGAATTGGGGTTATTCTCTCAACCGCATCCAAACAATATGGATAATCTGTAAATTCACGCGTTGAACTTTTTGGGATTCCACGGCTACTTCTTAGTGTCATGCAAGTGGGTGTAGCATTAATTGCTACGGGAAAAACTGCGCTGATCGACTGCAAGATTCAAGTTGACTATCGCCTGTGTGCCGTTTTACTGAGTGGTAAATTGATGATTAAAAAGAGTTGTGAAAGTTGCCGTTGTCTCTATGTAATCTGTACTGACAGCAGTTTAATGAAGGGAAAGAAGTGTTCTATCGAAACTTTGACTTTCTACTGGTTTTTCGTAGCAGGTGCTTTCAATCAACAAATGGATAGGCCGTCAGGCAGGAAGGGTAACTTTCAGAATCCCAGTCACACATATAACGGTGATCACTTACCACAACTGTGTCTAGACAACTATCTATTTCTGACCAGGTCGAAATTCAGACAAAAATAGAGACATTATTTGACATGGGATCACCGACGTCGACTAAACCGTAGACACAGATGGACCATACAGCTACCAGTTATCGCAGGAGAGGCTCAGTGGAAAACGGCTGCTCCTTGTGTAAAACGTGTTTGAACAGCGAGCACACGTACGTTCGCGCCTAAATCGTCATAGCAAAACTACGACATCAGGATCATTTTGAGTGCTACTCAACGATACGAATACGAAGGCCGTTTTCAACAAGAAACCAGCTAGACAGTTATCGGTACAGAACAACATTACTCAACTAGGAGAAGCTTGGCACCATCTCGTCTGTTGTAAAAACAGCGTTAAAGACTGTAGCTGATTCTTAAAAAGTGACGAAGAGGGGATAGTGGATTTCACCAGCTTCCTTTCAATAATTGGATGTACGTGAACGCATTCCTGCAGGCTCTAAACACAATGAAGAGTGGGAGCAACTCGAATGTAGACTTAACCGATTTAACAATGAAACGGGTACAAAGGGCAATGGTTAGTAAGACTATAGCAGGGAAGGATTGGTCTGCGATTCAACCACAGGAAAGACGACTGAAGAACAGTTCAGGTGTCTTTCATCTACGACTCCGTTTCTAGCTTTCCAGTCAGGTTTGGAATGGAAAATTAAGAAAGGGCCTTTAACACTTGCAGAAGTTGAATATTCTATGAGTATCCAGAAGCTAAGAAGGGCAGCAGGGACTTACGTCGATGGTGTTTAACGATAGTGGTCGATAATCATGGATCAGATTAACTGAAGTATTAGCTGACGTATGAGAGTCACATATGATCCCTGCTGACTGATCTCAATCACAGGTTATCCGAGTCTTGAGAAGAGGAGAGAAACCTTCTTGTGATAACCACAGTAGAATCAGTCTGACGAACAGTGTCGAAGATTAAAGGTTATATAACTATCAGATGCCACTGTAATAGTGTGCTGCCATGATAAGATGATTGTCGGCGGGTCAGGTCGTACTGCTGGCTACATGAAGTGAAACAGCAGTAAGGTGTTCCCCACCGATGACCACCAGTACCATGTTGTTGCTGCTGTCCTTATAACAAGGAGGTTTGGAAATGATCAACCTCAAAGTAGCATGCCACTCCCTGTTCTGTGGCACTCAGTGACCAGTGGTATGGGTTTGTCTTACTCTGCATCATCACAATGGAACCTCCATAGAATATACTTAAGAAGATATGCTCACTATCCATTAAACACAATTACCGATACCTGATATTAGCCGTTTTTCTCAACCACAAGGCGGCATTCGACCACATCGGTCGAGAGGTCTTATGACAGTATCTCTCATCGAACTGAAGGAGATACTGAGTTTCTACATCAGCTTTTTCGAGTCTCTCCACTCAAAAACACCCGTAAGCCTGATACAGTCAGTCTATGGTGAGGTATCAAGTCAGTTGTGTACGTCCAGTGGTGACTGTCAACAATGTACACTCTCGCCATTCTTATCCAACTTCATCATATACGTACTTGTGGAGGTCTCCCTCCTGTCATCTGACTACAGAGATTTTCCTGATTCTTAATAGATATAGGGTGCACAAATGACATAGTCCTGTTAGGTAAAGACCCTGTAAAGATGTAAAGTTTCCTGGACACCTTGAGTAGCAATCCGAGAATGCTTGACATGAGTCTCTCCTCAGCAAATTGTCACTTGTTGCCCTAAGACTGGTTTCCAAAGGTACCTTGTCTAAAAATAGGGTGCGAAATTGTTGAGTGCATCGACCGCTTCACTTATCTAGAAAGTCAGATCAGTCGTAGTACGTCAGTGACCAATAAAATCTCTGCACCAACGAAAAACCTTGTTTGGTCTTCCCCATCTTACTCCACTCATAGTATCGTCATGATGTTAGACTGTCTACTACTAAGGACCGAGTGCATTGTGCTGCACTTCGCTCTGCTCCAATAGATGGATGTGAAATATGCTTATTGGAGGTAGAGGACAGAAGGCTCGAGATACTTGATCACTATCGCCTTCTTTGCATAGGCTGTGTCCTAGTGTCACCAACACATCAGCAATGTAGAAGCGAGACGCGGAGGTTTTTGGTAGAAGAGGAACGTCAGTCGATAAGGTTGTGAACCTTCATTGGCTCAGGTGACTGGGACATGACATGTGTTGCGCTTGTCGACTTACTGTTTACCACGCGTATATTGTTATCCAAGGTAGTTTCAGGTTGGAATGAGGTTAGAAGTGGTCAGACTAAAACAAGGCACCAGTCTAAGTAGTTTCGACTGCTTGTCTGTGTTGTTTGCGGAAATGTAGTTTTCTTTGTCGGTGTTGGGCTGGCAACAAGAATCGCTAATTAACTCAGAATCGAGTGCAGTGATGGTGATGCATCTACACATTATCCTCACGCTAATCATCATACTGAATCTGATTATTCTCTTTTTGCATCAATACCGCTTTGACTGCTTGTTTCTTTTTTGTTTACCTGGTATATTGATGTATTATCGCTTGATGTGCTTAATTCCGGCGTGGTAACCTGGAATGCAACGCAGTAATAACAGTTACTCCACTGATCGTAGCTGATCTAGGAATTGATGTTTTATACCCTCTTGTTAGTAAGAATACATGTATTACACTAATTTGCACCAATGATTACCAAGTACTCACTCTAATTGCTTTGGTTAAGCTCAGCATGACTTCAGCTAGTTTATATTCTTCTTTTGTTACTTCTCGACGCTTCTCCATCAATTCAGCAATATGTTGAGTCTAGATTTTAAAAATGAAAAGATTAGAAAGTTATGTTTCACTACATTTCAGTAAATACTCGAAGTGGAAACTTTTTTGAATTTCGGTCACCAAGGAATACACTACATAGGTTACTCAGCTGTCTGATTTCGTAAACAGTTAATACATTAGGTTTACTACCTGGGCAATGGATAGTACTCCTACACCTCAATTACGAGCCATGACAAGTATGAAAATTAGTTTCTGCTGGTTGTCTGAATGTAATAATGGTGTGAAGGAGGTTTATTGCATAAATGTATTTCGTTCTAATTTTTGTGGGACAGGATTTGAAGCTCACAGACTATTGGCCTGTAGGTTTAGGCTACTTTCATTTGTTTCTGCCTGGACCTCCATGTTGTACAGTGAATGTGACCTCTGATGTTGCATGTATACCTTTACAGATTTGTACATTATAAAACATTGTAGTTTTGCAGTGAATACGTGCCTTAAGGTGATAAAATATACTCGTATTCTGAAGTATATATATACTTCTCAGTTCTAATTTGTTTTATCTTACCTCTGCCGAATCTGTGCCACTGTGTTTTAAAGCAGTAATTGATCTTCTAACTAGAGATTCTAGATCACCTCTATGTCCATTCATCCTTGATTCGAGATTTGGAGCTTGTTTTTTAGCTGAGTAATACCGACGTTTCCATTCATCTCGGGCTATAATATTAACGAAGCATGATTATTATCAATTTCGTGTTGATGAATTGTGCAGTTAATACATTTAAAATCGACAATCAAACGAAAAAAAAATTGTTGAGCAGTTCAACATATTTTGTCGTTTCCAGCAATAGTAAGAAATGAAATCAGTCTACTTACCAAAATCATACTGAGGTATTTACTATGAGAATCGAAAACTTGTTATTGTTTGAAATGTCTGCAGAGTAAAAACATTTTCTAATTTCTAGAAGTAAATATCCCTCTCAGATAGACGTAAAATTGTTTGAAGCATGAGCACACAAAATAATAATCCGTTTAAGCATCTGAGGCCTACTCAGGCATGTAACTAACGCTTATTAATACTTCCTCTTAGGATTGTAAGCGTGGTGAGACCGTTACTTTACCAAAAGATTAGGATGAGATTGGTTTCTAGAACACTTACTTTCAAAATATTCGACTTTCTGTTTTCAGGCAGAAAAAGATACGAATGATTTATGTATGCAATTTCCAGTATTACCTTGTTCTTCCCCACACTTTTATTGACTGTGAAAGAACTCACAACATTTATCTAAATCAGTGAAGGTTTACATGCTAATCAACTGACTTACCTCTTCCAATTAGGATTTTACACCTAAAATGTACATTATTCATCTGCCTGTCCTGAAAAATATTGCCAGGCACTCTTAGACACTAAACCCTTGAAAACTAGACTTCATGAAGATAGGGAAAGGCAGAGCGAGAACCGACGGATCATGTGTTAGAATACAACACAATCTACTGAATCTAGGACAATCAGGTAGTATCATTTATTATTAGTCCCTTGGGTTCCTAGTGGAACATAGGGCTTCAGTAGCACGTCTCCAGTGACCTCTGTTCTCTGAGATCTTTTGAACCTGATTCTACGACAGCCCAGAAGCTCTCATTTCCTCCTCGCACGACCTCCTCCATGTCACCCTCGGACGTCCAACTCGTCGCTTCCCATGGGGATTCCACTTGAGCAACTGGTCTGACGCGTGATGTCCTCAGTCAGCCTTCTCAGTGCATGGCCAATCCATCTCCACTTCCTCCTGCATATTTGTTGCGTGATAGGTTCTTGGTTGGTTCGTCCAGCCAGAGTTCCTTGTTGCTTATTCTTTCTGGCAATCCATCTGATCTTCAGTAGCGAGCCAGCGTAAGCAGTTGTTGATGAATGTCTGTAGTTTATTGGAAATCCCTTTCGTGACGCGCCGAGTCTCTCAACCATACAGAAGCACTGACTTGACGTTGGTGTTGAAAATCCGTATCTTGTTCCGCATGCTGAGTGCCAGAAGATCTCCACACTGGTTTCAGGCTAATGAACACCTGTCTTGCTTTTCCGATTCTGACTTTGACGTCCTCGTCCGTCCCGCCTGTAGTTGAAACAGTGCTTCCAAGATAGGTGAAGGAGGTTACTTCCTTTAAGTTTCTCCCGTTGACGGTGATTGGAGTTTGTTGTTGTTGGTGGTGGTGTGTTATCTTCATCACCTCTGTCTTCTGTATATTCACCTGAAGTCCCGTCTTCGCTGCCTCTTCTATCAACTTGTTAGTTTTTGCCTGCAGATCTTCAAGTTTATGTGACATCAGGCACAAGTCATCGTTGGCGAAATCCAAGTCTTCTAGGTTCTTTTCCGCAGTCCAGTGTATCCCCCTCTTCTCGCTACCCACTGTTTGCTGCATGATCCAGTCGACCACAATAAGGAATATCATGGGGGATAGTAGGCAACCTTGTTTCACTCCTGTCTTCACTTCAGTGGCATCACTGAGCTTCCCATTGTGAATTACTTGGCATGTGGCATCTTCATATAGTTGTTGAATGAGGCGGATAAAGGTTTGCGGTACTCCGTAGTAGTGAAGCAGTTTCCAAATTACTTGTCGGTCGACGCTGTCAAAGGCCTTCTCAAAGTCGATGAAGTTGAGGTAGAGAGCTGATTGCCATTCTATGCTCTGTTCTATGATGATGCGTGGCGTTGCAATTTGGTCTGCACATGATTTGTACTTCCTGAAGCCTGCCTGTTCCGGTCGCAGTTTTGAATCCAGCGCATCCTTTAGTCTCTCCAGGATGATGTGGCTTAATATTTTGCTTGGAGTGGGTGGACAGGAGAGTGATTCCCCTCCAGTTCTTGCAAGCACTGAGGTCTCCTTTCTTCGGCAGTTTGACAAGGTAACCCTTCTTCCAATCAATCGTCAGGTACCTTCTCTTCCGTCCAGACGTTCTGCAATAGTGGTGTGAGCATGTCCGCTGTTGTCTCTGCGTCTGTTCTCAGTGCTTCTGGTGGGATTCCATCTGGTCCAGCTGCTTTCCCACATTTCAGTAGCTTTATGGCGTTCAGGACTTCCATTTTCGTTGGAGGATTTATGTTCACTTGTAATTCAGCGGCTGCAGGTGGTATTTCTGGACGAAGTGCAGGTGGTGGTCGATTCAAGAGCTTTTTGAAGTGGTCGGCCCATTGTTTCCTCTGTTTCTCTTCTTCTGTAATTAAATTTCCGTCATCATCTTTTATTGGTTTCATCTGTGTTGATCTCTTCCCTGATAGCAACCTGGTTATTTGATACAATGTTGTCAGGTCTCTCTTACCTGCAGCCTGTTCTGCTTCACTTGCCAGTGTTTCGTAGAAGTGTCTTTTGTCTTTGCGTGCACTCTTCTTTACTTCTTTGTTCAGTGTTTTGTACATTGTGCTCAGTTCCTCTTGTCGTTGAGCATCCTTGCACTGGTTTATCTTCTGCTTCACCATCCTCCTCTCCCTGCTCTATCAGCTTCCAGGTATCCGTCGAGATCCATTCCTTATCTTCTTTCTTCTTCCTTCCTAATACTGTTGTGCAGGTTTCTTTCCACATCTTTTTCAAAGACTTCCAGTGTTCTTCCACACAGGTTTCTCCAGGGATGTTCCTCGATATCTCCCATTTTGTCTTGATGGCTGCCTTGAAGATCTCCTTTGTAGTTTCATCCTTCAGTTTCCGAATGTTGTACTTGAATTGAGGTCTATCACCAGCTTCCTTGAAGGCTTTTAACTTGATTTGGAAGGTTCCTTGCACTAGACAGTGAGTGGTCTGAGCCTACATCTGCTCCTCTTCTTGACCTTGTGTTAAGTAGACTGCGTCTCCATTTTCTTGAGATTGAGATAGAGTCGATTTGATTTTTAGTGTGTCCATCTGGTGTCTTGTGAAATCCATGTCGCTTTGTGGATATCCTTGTGCTTTAACACAGTGCCTCCAATCACCAAATCGTTGAATGCGCAGAATTCTGCAAACAATTCTCCATTCTCATTCATTTCACCTAGCGCTTCTCGACACATAGTTAGTTCTCTTCCTGTGTTGTCTGCTCCCAGTTTGGCATTCATGTCACCCATTAGAATTTTGATATCGCCAACTGACGTCTTGTCCAGTGTTGATTGAAGTTGTCTGTAGAATTTCTCCTTCTTCTCTTCATCCGCATTATTTGTAGGTGCATAGCATTGTATGATTGTGACCTTCCTTCCTTTTGAGTTGAACTTTGCTGTCATGATCCTGGACGAGATTGGTTCCCACTGCAAGAGAGCCTTCGATGCTCTTGGAGACATCATGATAGCCACTCCAAAACTCAGTGTGCTCGTGGTTGTCGTCTGGGTGACAATATCGGAGTAGATTATTGATTCTCCAGTTGACAGTTTGGAGAGTCAAATTCCATTACATCTGCTTTCGCAGATTTCTATCACTTCAGTGTGACACCTCCTCATCTCGTTTGCAATCTGGGCTGCCTTACTGGGTTCAAACATCGTACGGACATTCCATGTCCCCACGTTTACTTTCGCTTTCATCGAAAAAGAGAAGACACATTGGCCAATTGGCTTACCGAAGACTTTCACCGACCGGCGTCATTTCGCCTCTCCGATTCCAGTGAGGAATAATTTTGTTTTTAATTTTTATATTTTGTTTGTGCTTTGAAGTTTCTTTAGCGGTTAAATTTGTTTTACGGAGTAGGGTTGCTAGCCGTATGGCCAACCTTCCATGTTTACCCGGGCTTATGACCGGCTAGTAACTAGTGAACTAGTTAACCAGAAGAGTATCATTAGTGATCACAAAATAGGTATAGCTCTGCCTACTGCACAAATGCGCACTACACTGCTGACCGGGTTTCGATTCGAGAACACAACGAACTACTGAGCAGTTCACATCACCCTGATTAGGCAATCGATTATCTCACCGGCAAAAATCGACTAAGTCTTTTGTATCCATGACAAGATTTCATCAGTCACTAGCTCCTTGCATTCTGGGATGAAAAGTCTATCGTAAATACTCTCTTCCTCTCCCTCAAATCATCATCCAGTATCCAAAAGACTGGATCCCGTCAGATCTTTATCCAACAGAACTATGCTGTCTGTTCACTCCACGTCGACTTGAGAGTGTTGGGCGGTGAGGCCAACATCCGAGTGAAATCAGACGTAAAGAGCGACACTTCGATAAGCACATCTATGACAAAGTCTGAGAGAATTGAAGAGACTACACTTTCTCGATAGACATCACATGATGCAGACATCGCAGTCGACAGCTGTAACATAACCACAAGTGATAGAGTGCAAAGCCTTCAGAAGGATCATTTTCTCGACAGACATTTCTCTGAGTGAAGGACACTGACATGGGATCTCTCTATCCATAAGGTCGAAAACCGTCTTCATATTGACAGATGCAGACAAAATCAGATGAATGAGACACATGTTAGTGTTCCGAAATCCAGTCGGTCATTGAAAATATGCTCGATACGTCCACCAACTTGGTTTCCTCCAATTCGTTTTTTCCGAGCTTCACAAAGGTGTCTAGTGATCATCGAAAATAGAATCTTAGACACTATGTTTGTCAAAGTGATTCCTCTGTGGTTATCACAAAATGACTTTTCTACTTTCTTGAAGACTGAGATAATCGACTGTTGAGATCGATCAGAGG